TGGGATTATGCTATCGCCATCAAAATTCATATCATCTTATTTCCTAAACCCATTCTTCATTCTCTCTATATTCTGTTCATCTCCCCCTCCTCTCTTGGATCTGGCGGCCGGAGCTCTATCCAATTACACGTGGTGCACATTTTTTTTTTTCAAATCAAAACTTATCACCAAACCAAATCAGCACTGAAATGGTCCTGCGCTATATCGAAGCAATTAATAGCAAACAAGGTTGAAACTCGACAAGGAATTCATTGCATGCATGAACACACATTTGATAACCGATCGAGCGTAGCGCAAGCCCCATTCAATTCACGGAAGAAGCTGCAGAGGATTCGTCAAACAAGCATAGATTCGTCGCAGAACAAACAAAATCCAGAAATATCTTATAAACTGAACCCCCAATCTGGATCATTTCGATGTACACCAAACAGAACCCAAGCGACAGCACGTACGGCCCAAATCCAGCCCACGCTATCGCTGCGCCGTTGGCGACAAGGCACTCGGCGGCCCTCGCGTCGTGCCAGCCATGGACATGGAGCGCGCGTGCGGCTGGCGTAGCTTCCTCATGGCGCAACGATCGACGTCTTCAGACTTCATCCAGCAGCTTCCTCATGGCGCCGGTGTCGTTCTGGTGCATATGTGCCACAGGATCAACGACGTCCGCGCCACGTACTATTGGACGGTTTCATGGAGCTTACATAAATACTCCATATAATGATCTCATATGGGGTCAATTCGAGATCATACTGTTTGATCTAGCTACCGTTATTTGATCTATAAATTCTACTATTCTAGTGTTAACCTCTCCACGAGGTAAATACTAGTACGAGATTTACACTCTCAAGTAAGTGAAAAGAGGAAGCAGCTGCTAGCTTTCAATTTGCTGAGGGCACTGAAACGCGTGGTGTTCGTCAGCTTCGCTGCCGCCGTGCTGGGGCTCCTCGCAGCCATCCTCGGGTTCGTCGCGGAAGGCGCCAAGTCCAATGCAAGTTTCACCTTCATCTCGATCTCACTTCTCGATAAGTTCTTGTGTGTGTGTGTGTTTGAATTTGACGTCTCGTGTTTTTTTCTGCGTGGATCGATCGATGGAGATGCAGTCGTTCGTGCGGTTCGACGGGAGGTACTGCGTGTACCGCGCCACGCCGGCGCTCGGCTGCGGGATCGCCGCGGCGATGTTCGTGCTGTCCGGCCAGGCCGCGGTCACCGCGGCGAGCGGCTGCTTCGGCCGCTGCCGCGCGCGCCGCGGCGAGGAGTCGTCGGCGCCCACGCCGGGCGAGCAGCGCAGGCGCTCCGTCGCCGCCTGGCTGTCCGTCATCTCGTGGTACGTATTAATTCTTGACTTGTTGCCACAGCATCCGCACGCGCGCGCGCGGCGGCGATGACCATTGTCGACGTCGCTGCAGGGTGTTGGTGGCGACGGCGGTGGCGATGTTCCTGTACGGCGCGTCGCGGAACGCGGCCGTGAGGAGGGGGCTCGCGGCGGCCGCGCTGGGCCGGCGAGGCAGGCGAGGCAGGCGCCGCGGCGGCGGCCGCGGCCGCAACGTGTACGGCTGCGCCGTCCTCGGGAGCGGGCTGTTCTCGGCGGCGTCCGTCGCGTCGCTCGCCGCCTCCGCCTGCGGGATCGCCGCCTACGTCTACGTCGAGGCGGATGGTGAATCATTGACACTCACGCCGACGACGCCGCCGCCGCGGCCTGGTGGGTTCGCCGGGGCGCCGGGCTCGGCGACGGGTGGTCAGCCGTATTTCCAGCCGCAGGTGGCGTACCCGGCCACGGGCTACGTCGCCAACCCTGCTGCGGCTCCTCCCCCACCACCGTACGGCGGCGGCGGCGGCGGCGACTACGCCGGCTATGTCGCCAAGTCGCGTGAAGGCACAGCTTGAGATTGCCAAAAAAAAAAAAAAAAGCGTCGAAGTAAGATCGCGCGAGAGGTTGCCAAGAACTCTGCCTTTGAACTGGTCTCGTTTAATGCTGATCTTTTCCTCGCTTGTGTGAAATTTCATTGTGTTGTAGAAGCAAATCGTGTATGCCACACTACATGACGATAACAATCTTCATGTCTTGGAATAATGAAACTTGTAAAAAACTGATAGGTCAAAAATGCCAGATGCGTTAATGCGTTATTATGGGTAAAGAGATGAGTAGTAGATGTCGTAATGGCTTTTTATTGGCCATGCATAGTCAACGTTGAGTTTATTTTCGGACTCCCTCCTTTTCATATTAGAGTCGCAATCCTCCAGGCTCCCGAGTCCGACCTGGTTAGGGTTTGCTCGCCTACAAATCGAGACGCCGCCGCCACCTCCCACCACGTACGATCCCCACCCGCCGTCGACGACCTCGAAATCCCAATCGCCGCGCCGCGAATTAGTCGAAGCTGCAGTACTGCATCGCCAAGCTCATGGCGGCTGAGGGCGGCAGCGCGTTCGCTGGGCAGAAGGTGCCGCTCATCGACGCCAGCATGGCTCTCAAGATGGAGGAGACGTGCCCCACCCCGGAGGAGGTGAAGCATCTCTCGCCGGCCGACGAGCGCCTCGCGGCGAAGGAGTACTCCGACGGCGAGCTCAACAAGTCCCACGCCGAGGTCTGCCGTGAAGCTGACAAGAATAGCGCCGCCTACCTGCTCGCCAAGCGGGCCAAGCTCCAGGCTCTGATCAAGGAAGAATGGGCTAAGATTGACTTCAGCCGCGTCCATGTCGGTGACTGGGACGAAGAAGCAGGCTGCTACAAGTAGCTAGCCCACCCAGCTCTGCTGCTGGAACATTGGACACTGGCCTTATTCTGGATGGATGGATGATTCGCCTGGCCCTTTTTTCTCTAATTAGCTCTACTAGTATTAGCTAGTATCAGTTATGTCTAGCTGTTCGATCCATCGTTCGATTTGTGATGTTTGGTACTAGTTACTAATCAATGGGTATCTATGTTATCCAACCATCCTTATTTACGTATCTATGTGATACTATCTGTGATAATAAAATTATAAGTCGTTTTGACTTTGGTAAACTATTTAAACTATTTTAAGTTTGATGTAAAATTTTCAACCCAAGACAAATATATTGTAAAAATATATTCAATTGTTGATCCGGAAAAGTTGGAAGTTTGTGTGTGTTGGAAAGTTTGTTGTGATGGAAAAGTTGGAAGTTTGAAGAATTATTTTGGAACTAAACACGGCGATAATATGAAACGGAGGTAGTATGCATATAGGGACAGAGCCAAGTATAGGCATAGGACAGCTTAGGCTTAGGCTCAGGCTCTAGGATTGTCTACATAATTATTAAGTACTCTTAAATCACCACAAAAAATTTAAAGAAATCTATTAATGCATTAGTTGGTTCGCTCTAGACTTTAATAATTTTCTAGCTCAACCCTACATACAACTCTAACCATCACGGAGAAAACTCGTCATGTTACCTTTGAGGAATGTTCTCTATGTGTACTTAGTCTTTCATCGATCTCTCAAAGTGGCTCAGATAGGCATTAAGAAAAAGCTTTCTTCATTTCATAATGCAAATGATGCTAAAATGGTTAAACATTGTTTTAGGTACGTACAACTGAAGTTGTGTATTACCGAAAGCCCATACAAGCCTCTTGGGTATTTCTTTAACCTAATATTATGACAATATCATTAACCATAAATGAGTCTATAATAGGAATACTTTTAGGGGCGACCTATTTGGCATCTAGCGAAAAACATCTAAAAATCTTACTATAGACCATTGGATCGCTTTTGGGATATGTGCAACAACCCTTAACACTAACCCTCTTTTCTTCCTCCCTCAGTCCCACCGTCATCATTTCGCAGACTCGATCCACCAACCTCCTCCACCACCACCAGCCTAGCGTGTCGTTGCTTGACCTCACCAGCACCAACAATGTTGGCGGGGTCCATTAGACCTCCCTTTCCCTTTCCTCTCCACGCCTTTCATCCTTCCCGGATTGAGCGATGTCAAGGAAGCCCCGCACGCCTCTCCCCCATCTCCGACAACTCCCTTGCCACTAGAGACACCACTACCGCCCACCGCCATCCTCCATAATCGTGGTTCCAGCGGTGCTATCACCGTCTCGCCCTTCTACCACCGCCAATCACTACCGGGTTGTCGCCGCTCTGGTATCCCTTTAAACCTGAGGAATCCCCCCCCCTCTCCTCTTCCTCTTCCCTTCCCCTACCCCTTTGTACCCGCCCCCTAAACCTAATACCTAATTGGTCAAGGGCATCGTCGTTGTCAAGCTCGCAAGAGTGGAAGGAGAAGGTCACGGTGCACGAATCTCAGAGCCGATCAGAGCATCCAAATTTTGAAAGATGGGGTTTCGATTATGTCCAATGGAGGTTAGAAATTCTGATACTAGTTTTCATGCCATTGATTTTTTTTATTGTTGATCTACCACCAAAAACTATCTTACTTTAACGTTGGTTTAAATGGATCGGGAAGAAAGATTTCCAACCATGCTTATAGAGTCAAACAGTAACAGGAGGTCACTATAGGACGGGCCAAAACTTTGAATCTGTTTGAATTTAGGAAAACTAGAGGATTTTCCGTGTAATTTTGCACGAAGCTAGATTTTAAATGCTAAATTGGGTTTGATATAAAAACCTTAACTCATGTTTCCAAACTTATATAGGTAGAATTATAAAATATATTGTGTACACAATAGGTTTATGAAGTACGATTATATCTGATATATACTTCCTCAGTTTTTTAATGTATAACACTGTTGACTTTTTAAGATATATTTGATCATTCGTCTTGTTTAAAAAAATTATATAATTATTATTTTTAATTTATTATGAGTTGACTTATCATAAAAAAATCTTTAAGCATAACTTAATTTTTTATATTCACATAAAAATTTTAAAAAAGTCAAATGGTCAACTTTTTAAAAAAAAAAGTCAATGACATCGTATATTTAAAAAAACAGAGGTACTATAGAATTCTCAAAAAGAGCCGAGAAAGTGGTGAATTACAAATATGCCCCTCTTTCCCCTTCATCTATTATTCCTCCCTTCCTACTCTACTCCCTCGACTTCTCGAGTCTCGATTCTACTCTGTCTCCAATCTACGCAGCGAAAGCCGGCGCCGCCGTCTCCTCGAGCGCGCCGACGGCGGAGAAGACCGCAGGCACGGCGGTGTCTACGGCCTCCTCCCCTTCCTTCCAGACCCCCGCCACGGCCGCGCCGCGCCCCGCCCTAGCCTCCGCCGCCGCCTCCCCAGTCCGGCCGCCTGGCCTCTCCACGCGCGCACGGCCGGGGCGAGCAGGTCTTTTGGGGGTGGGCGACGCCGCCCGTGCCGCGGCCTCCTCCCACCTGAATCCATCCCAGCTCGCGCCGAATTCGGAGGTACTCGTCTCCTCTCTCTCTTCTCTCGCAGCACTCCCGTCCACTTCGTGAGCAGAGAGGCGTGCAGTAGGTTGGGGAATCCGTCTCCTGACTCGGTATTGATTTCTTTCCCTCCAGGTGTCCCGTACAATTCCTTCTGGATTTCCATCATTCCATGATGCCTGGTGGATTGTAGCTGCTCGTGTTTCCACGAAAGAAGGTTTGGGGGTTTATCTCCGAATCCTTCTTCTGGGAGGGATACTCTAATTGGTCCGGTTTGCTGCGGAAATCTGTGGAGCTCGGGTAGATGCTCCGTGTTAGTTTCGCCACAGCGCACTGCAAATTCTAGTGGAGTGAAGAGGAATATGGTAGAGGGGTTGCCGGCGGAGTTGCCAATCGTGGACGTGGCCGCTCGTTTGGATGGCAAGAGCTCGGAGCTGCCAGAGAATGGTGCATTGCTGAAGGGTGCTGAGGAATCCCAGGTTTGGAATGTTTTAGCTTACTCGGGAAGTGCCAAATATATTTGCTTCTATTCGAATGATTTGTGATGCTTTGTTTGCTTGCTAGGATTTGGGAGGTAATCCCGTGGCGGTGTTGACGTTGCACGAAGGCAAAGAGGTGATCCTCGTCGATGACAATGATAGTGAGCAGGAAGACGGTGGGAGTGGCAAGGTGGATGAGAATGCGCCCCGGGTCGGATTGAGATTCAAAACTTATGATGACGCGCTGAAGTACTATAAGCAATATGCCGCGGATTCTGGCTTTTCAGCAATCATTCTGAAGTCGTCCTACTTGAAGTCAGGGGTGTGCCGGAGGTTGGTGCTTGGATGCAGTCGAGCTGGAAGAGGGAGGGCAAACGCATGCTATCTGTCTAGAGAATCAACGAAGATAAATTGTCCAGCTAGGATTTCGTTGAAGCTAAGGCAAGATAGATGGCTTCACATTGATGACGCTAAGCTTGATCACAACCATCCACCGAACCAATCCTCGGTGTCACATATGAACTGTTATAAGAAATTGACAGATGCCAAGAATGAGGAAACTGCTTCAAGATCAAAAGGGCGTAGGAATGTTCCCATAGGTGACAAAGAGCAAGGGAGCTTTACTGAGATAGGAAGGCTTAAATTTGGGGAAGGAGATGATGAGTACATCCACAAGTTTTTTGGGAGCATGCAGAACAAGAATCCAAATTTCTTCTACTTAGTAGATTTGGACAAACAAGGGCGCCTAAGGAACTTGTTCTGGAGTGATGCTAGGTCACAGGCAGCACATGATTACTATGGTCGTGATGTTATTTACTTTGACACTTCATACTTGACCGAAAAATATGATCTGCCACTTGTCTTCTTTACTGGGGTGAATAATCATGGTCAGCCTGTTTTGTTTGGTACTGGATTACTTTCAGATCTAGGTGTTGACAGTTATGTGTGGTTATTTAGGGCATTTTTTGCATGCATGAAGGGCTGCTACCCAGATGCAATAATCACTGAGCATTACAATGCTATTTTAGATGCAGTGAGAGATGTTCTCCCCCAAGTTAAACACCGCCTTTGTCTGTATCGTATTATGAAAGATGTAGCAGAGAACTTGAAAGCACATGCAGAATTCAAAACAATTAAGAAAGCACTGAAGAAAGTAACCTATGGGTCACTGAAAGCCTCAGAGTTTGAAGCTGATTGGAAGAAGATTATTCTGGAGCATGGACTTGGAGAAAATGAATGCCTTAGTTCCCTATATGAGCATCGGCAGCTATGGGCACCCGCCTATCTCAAAGGCCAATTCTGGGCAGGGATGTCAGTTTCACAGCGTGGAGAGTCTATTGTTTCATACTATGATGGGTTTGTGTACCCCAAAACTTCCCTGAAGCAATTTTTCAGTAAATATGAGATCATATTGGAGAACAAATACAAGAAAGAGTTGCAAGCTGATGAAGAATCCTCCCATAGGACTCCTTTGACTGTAACAAAGTTTTACATGGAAGAGCAGCTGGCCAAAGAATACACAATCAACATGTTCAAGAAATTTCAGGACGAGTTGAAAGCAACGATGTATTGTGATGGTATGCCAACTAAAGTTGATGGACAATTTGTCACCTTTGTGGTGAAAGAATGCTCATACATGGAAGATGGAAAGGAGAAGGAGGGAAGGAATTATGAGGTTTACTTTTGCAAGCAAGAGCTTGTTAATTGTGAATGTGAATGTGGTTTCTTTCAATTCACTGGAATCCTATGTAGACATATATTATCTGTGTTTAAGTTGCAGGAGATGTTTGAGATTCCAATAAGGTTTGTTCTTGATCGCTGGAAAAGAGACTATAAGAAATTGCATGCTGATGCGCTTTGCAAAAATGATGAAATGCTACCTGATGTGCTACCTGATGGCATAATCGAGCGTCATGATATCTTGTTTACACAGTCTCGTCAGGTGCTTAATCTAGGGTTCATATCCGAGGGTAGGTACCTTGTAGCTCTGAAGTTACTGAGACAAGCAGAAAAGACTCTTCTGGATGATGGAGATAGAGGCAGGCAGGCAGGGCTTCTCTCGTTTGAGGCTGAAGCACCTGAAAATGATGAAGGGATTTTTAGTCCTGAGTTTTCAGAGGGTGTAAAGAATTCTCAGTCAACAAATGCAAAGCGTCGAGGTCGTCCAACAAAGAAACTAATTGAATCTGATTCTGATACCGTATTACGGCCAAATAAAGAGCAGGTCTATATTCATTCTTGGGGCCTAAAGAGCCTAAGATCCATATTTCACTTTCTGTTATATGAATATGCCTTCATTGATTTTTTTTTTTATTTCTGCTGAGCAGGATTTTCTACGGTCATCTTTTGTCACTGATGAGTCTAATATGATTCAAGGGGCACCCTCAGCCTCACACCTTGAAAGTCCTCACTTGGGAGTTGATTTGATGGTACTTGTTACCTTTGCCTTTGCTATCTACTGCTATTATTTGTGCATGTAAATATCTTGTTCTGAACTTGCACAGGAAGGAATACCTCCAAACCTTTCATTTAATCATCATTTTGGTATGGATGTTAATCACCAACATCAAGTGCCCAACCAACCGAGGATGCTCCCAAGCAATTTTCTGCAGGTTTTTACCATACAACTGCTCAAGCCTTTATACCATAATGTTCATTTGCACTCTTTAGTTCATATATCATTAAGGATGAACTCATAACTTTTGATGGTCATTTTCCTTTTGTACATTAGCAAGTTACTAACTATTCTTCTCACTGTGCATATTTGTCTAGTACAATTACCAATGCCTTTAATTTTAAATAAATGTTGCAGGCCCAGGCAGATTCCCAGGGTTATGGAAATCAATGGGCTTTCCCAACATTGCAGGTTTGTTTCCTTGGTTCTTGAATTGCGTAGGTCTTCCTACAGATGTACATATATAAGGAAATGACATATATGGCTATATTCCAGGATAATTCAATGCTAAGAACTGCAGCCCGAAGAGGAGTGTAGACCCTATTTTTTGGCTCTAATTACAGCAGTAGAATTCTAGGTAATGTCTGTTTTGTTCTTGCATCATGCCATATGCTTCAGATTTTTTTTATGTACCTGTGAGCATTCTGGGATTATTTTTCTTTTTTACTTAGATACTTGTTTCTTTTCAGTTCAAGAAATAATCCTTATCATTTACTGGGCGAAGCTTTGTTACTTTTCAATTTTATATATGCTTGTTACAGTACATTTCTTTACAAAAATGCATGTGGTTCTCCCTCCATTTGGAATTGCCTGCCATTTTAGGCCAAATCACAAAGACCAAGGTGTGGTTAATTCTTTCATCTGGGACCTGATTACGCCCTTCAATACGGTGTTCTCTCTAATTAATGGTAGTCAAGATTACTCCACCATTCTGATCGTCATTAAATCCTAGAGCCTTGGGTGAGCATAGATGAGCAGCACCTTGCCGCATGTCTGAGCAAGACGTCATACCAGCTGATTTTTTTTGGATACGCATAATCTGTATCAACTAACTTTGGAACATGCTACTCTTAGCTTATGATAGGGAATTAATGAATTGAATTAGATCCAATGCCATTTGTGCTAGCTAGCATTTTACAAGGGAAATTTAGGAAAATACTGCCTAGAAAACCTAAAATGACAACTATTTGATAATAAAAGCAAGATTGTAAGACAACGTTGAAAAGGATACAGAGGAAATATCTTTCTATACATACAAACTAAGGTTCATGAAGTCCATTATGTTCCTTCTTAGGAAGCTCTTGGTTCTTGAGTTTTTTTGGCTTGGCATTCTAATGTCTGGGTCACAAATATTAATGCTGTGAAGCAGCTAAGAGAATATGCATAGTCTGTACAATTTTTGGGCATAAACCTTATTTGTGAACTTACAATTTGCAATTTTATTACCTAACCCTTCACATGTTAATATGCACATTTGCTGTTGCTAGTTTTTATTTCCCTTTTCCCTAATGATACCAAACATCATGTGCAAATATATATTCTCTAATCATATGCACGGATTGAATAAAAAGTATAGAAGAAATCTTATATTCCGCTTTAAAATATAAAGTCTTCTATATAATCTAGACCAAGGGTAGCATAGAGCCATGCGGTCTTTTTTGGTCTCCTTGTTAGTATTTACACAAATCTAATATGGCATTGCAGTTTTATTCGATTGGAGCTCTGACTGTTTCCTCTCACTATTAAGCAAAAATCGGTAGACTGTCAAGAATATCTGGATTTTCAATATGTAATCAACAGTTCCTATTTAACCTATACAAGATCCGTTTTGACTTGTTCACAAAGTTTGGTAACATCGGTGCTTTGTCTGAAATGATCGGATTTGAAGGCTTGAAATTCTTCCCAGTGAAGAATCATGCATCATATGCATTTGTCATGCCATTTTAGCTGTGTATTAACTTCACATTCGTAAATTTCAGATACCATGACTCCTCCGGCGCTCGTAATTACTACCTTAACTAACCTGAGGATACTGAGGCGGCAGCACATTATAAGACAGGTTGGATTACTTGGTAGATGAATCCAAAGGATATCCATTGTAACTTTTTTGTTGTTTCCTGACTGTTAGCTGCTGTTACTGGTCATATATTTTGACCCCAAGTTGTACATAGCATTAGACATAGTCAATGTGTACATTACTCATTGCGGCAGATTGGTGAATCACATGATATCGAGTGCTGCCAAATATATTGATCGATGTTTTCCTATACAATTCTAGTTAGGCAAAGTTTGAAAATGGGCATCACTGTTGGACGCTATTGCAGAAAGCCAAAAACACACCGTGAAAGTCCTTTTTAAGACACGCTGCTGTGCGTGTTTGCTAGTACTAGAAATCACTGCATCTATTGAAATATATTGTTTTTGTTTGTGTTAGAGAAGAAAATTTTGGAAATAACACTAATGTCCGTATCTTCTTCCACACTTTTCACCTTCTATCATATCATTACAATTGACATCCCAGTACTACGAAATGCCATATTGTCGGCCATTTATCCATTATCTTCCTCATTTTCTTCGTTTTTTTAGCAACCACTTTTTTTTCTCGTACCATAAGGAGAAATTAGCAAGCAACATCTCAAACTAGAAAGAAATGCGTGCTAGGCTGCGCCGTTTGAAGATGATGTGCATGCCACCATTATGCCACGATGTCATGAACTATGAGTGTATAAAATAGCACCTGGTGCCAACATATACATAATATTATACACACACACCTCCTTATTAAGAAAACATATTGTTTTACATGGAAAAATAGTATCATTATAATACATTAGCAGAACAAAGGACATGCATAACTGATAAACTATTGGAGTATGCCAAGAAGTAACTTACATATGTAGTAATGATATTAATGACAAAATAAGATAAGTAATATCGTATATAGAGAGGTCTCGCATGTACAGTCTCTTCTATGTAACATAAATCATGACCGATAGAGAAAAAAAAATGTCGCAAATCACCAAAACGGCACAAAATACACACCATGATATAGTCTAAATATAGGTTTTGGGATACAAATATCACAAAAAAAAAGTAGAAATATATGTGTTTTTCAAGAGTAGCAATGTTGGCTCGGCTTCTGAAAGATGATTTTCTGATCTTTTGGCAGTAACTGAGGTGGTATCACTCTTGTATGAGTTTCTCCTGTCACCTAAAACACATTATATACATCAAATATGCATCAGAAAGGAATCTCCTGGAAAAAAAAATTAGAATAGCCAAAATTGATTTGCAAAAATAACGCAATGTTATTGCAAAAATTAATGAAAAAAAACGTGGGAATAATACACACTCACAACAATAAGTTACTGGGATTATTTGTACTTCCAATGTTAGAGGCTACTTTATACGAAGAGAGAAGAAAAGAGAAATAGGGCATCTTTCAACACATGATGGCCATGGATTAAAAAGTGCCACAATAGTAAGTATAAAAGAAGTATTATGTCATGACAATGGTGCAAAGACAAATAAGTTGCCTGCAGTCTTCATCATTTGTACATTACATTCTAAAAATAAGAGCTATCTTCTAAAAGTTTTTTGTTTGGTAGAATATAAGTTTGTAGGACAGTATTACATAACTACCTGCTTCAATGTCCAATTTGTCGAATATGAGGCAGCAGAGTCATCTGAAACACCACCAAGCAATGATAAAATAATTATAGGCTTCATTTCCTCCATGACCTTATCAACCTTCTTCGTTGAACTGGACCAACACAACAAATCCCATGAATTAATCTAACCACTCATCAATTATTAGCATGTACATCATCTATATATCTGCATCATGTCATTTCTGGTAGAAACATTTGCAATCTTGATAAAAAGTATATCATTCCAATGGATATCCTGTTGGCAGAATGTTTTCATATAAGCTTTCTATTCATAGCCTTGTAGTGATCCCTAGCATGATTTTTTTTTTGGCCATCTATGTCATTCTATCAAGCTAGGTAAAGTGGCATCACTATATTGTACAATATATAATGTACCAGTAGAACCAATAATTAACATGGAATTTTTTGACAACTGAATTCATATGAAATAATCTGAAGTAAAGAAAAATTCCCTTAATAGAAGTGAGGCATAATTACATATGATCATTAGAATATAATTAAGCTTTTGTTAACCGAACCATGGTAAAGAAGATGAATGGTGTCCTGCAAGATGAATCTCCCCGCTGAAACTGTAAGTACCTCTCTTTCAGAATAGAGGTAGTAACAACATGAAGCAGTTAAAGTGTTTCCTAAAATTAAACAATGATGTACACGAAAAATATGGAAATAAATAAGAAATGATGCACCTGCATATTGTTTGTGTTCTTCAAACTTGAATCCATAAAACCGGGCATGAACCATGCATCTGATCCTGCCATAAGCCAAAAGAAGCAAACATTAATTTAAGGAATATGATACCCCTTTTAATCTTAGTTAATCCTAAACAGCGAACAACCTAGTCGAGAGAGAATGAACCAACCCCGCATACTACAAAATCATAAGAGCATTTATTAACTTATGACAGAATTATTCCTTACCTTACTGCATGAAAGAATATTCTTCCCCATACTAAATGGAAGCAATTAAAATAAAAAAGGAATCATTGGGTTGTAGTTAAAAAAAAAGGAAATTGTTGGGATCTAGCTAGTTCATCTAATAATTGTTGACAAATTTCACAAGGAGATTATCGATTGAATATTGCATAGTACATACCATGCTTAACAGTGAGGACAAAGCTCGATGGGTCCCTCGGCAAGATGGCATGACAGAGTGGTAGCACACAAGACACCTTCTCTCTTATCTGTGAACAACACCTCACCCTAATCCATCAGTCATTCGATGGAACCTAAGGGTAAGATGATGGATCAAGTAAAAAACATCAATAAATGCAAGGCAGATGCTAAACAGTGAGTCAAATCATTTCCTTACACTGTTGTTTTTTGTGTGCAGCAGCACGAAGCATAACGGGAAGCGGAGGATCATGACGTGATGGGGACGGTTGATGGCGTCAATCTTTGGCGACTGCAGGAGTCGGGAACCCGGGATGGATGGGGGACGCACAACCAGGAACTCGAAACGCCTGTGGACAGAGACCACGCGAGCGGCGCTGCGGATTCAGTTGCTCGCTTGCTGCTGCTTCACCATATCGACTCCCACCGCCAGCTTGTCCCATTGAACAGTGATCCACCATAAGCTTGATTCGCTGGATGAGCACATCTACCCCCTCACCGGCGCCACCGGCAAGGAGCTGTATCCCCCTCACCGGCGAGGCGTCGGATCAAAAATACCCGAGAAGCCCGAAGGGCTCCGGTTGGTCGCGCAGGGGAGGACCGGTGAAATCACATAGCTAGAGGGAGGGAAGGGGAGGGGAGGGAAAAGGATGGAAGAAGGAGGGGGCGACGCCGCAACGCTGGTGGGCAACCGAGGCGTCGACGCTTCCGCCGCCGTCTCTGACTCTCGCGAAAGAAAGGCGAGGAGCGCGAGGCGGGGCTGGGCTGAGTGCGGCTAGGGTTTTCTTCTATTCATCTGCGCGAAAAACGATCTGACCCGTCCAATATGGTTTCGCCGATCCTATGGATCAGGAAGAGCAGCCACATTAATGGCCAGATTGATCTTATCCCACGATCGAGTGGATCATATTAACCTAAACTGAAGTGTGATTAAGCACAAAAGAAGGTCTTTTCTAGAAAAAACAATGACGTGGCATGGCTACCTCTCAACCATTCCCACGGCTTTTAAGTAAACACGTATGACCAATCATCATGTTCAAAAAACAACCACGAAAAAAGACCACGTGCCTTATCTTTTCGCATATGGTTATACTTATTAGCCAAAAATTGAATTTCAACCTTAAATTTTGAATTGATTTTGGGGTTTTTCATCGAAGTTTATTTTTCAGTATTTGCTTTTATATTGTTAACAATACGTATATAAAAGTTATATTCATAAATTAGTTTTTATTTGCAAATATGTCGTTTGGCTTATTCCATGAATAAGCGAAACGATGGGGCTGCACATCAACACTTCCCAAGCCTCGTCCTATAGGACAACCAACTCACCACCTCCATCTCCCATGTCCTCTCCTCACAATCTTCTTGGGCCTTGCCAAAGTCACAAACCTTATCACTTATCCTCGCGTTCTCTAACGGTTGTCTCGATATCGCCGCAACTTTGTTTCATTTTAGATATACCTTGTTCTTCTAAATTTGTTTCTATTTCTTAGAGCTTGATGTACATCATTCACCATACTAGATTACTAGTACTAAGACTTGCTTTTTTCTGAATTACTTGACAACTGAAACACATTTCCTCTATTAAAAAATGGTGAAGGAGCAAAACGAGATAAAGGGGTAGAACCATGGAAACACATCATGGTTGTATTTATAGCTCTTCTATCATAGTAGGTGATGGGCACGTCAACATCTCAAGTTCTGAATCATGTCAGAGTAGCTCTTGAATGTTTTGGGCTTTTTCAGCAGGTGAGGAAACCGCAGCCGCACACCATTGCCTACTTCCTGCGACACTATTCTGGCTTGTAGCTCGACAACCGAACATGTCTTTTTTCCCCTAAAATTCTTGAAAGGAGTTTCTTTAGTATTGTTACCCGATACCATACACATGGCAGTATATATATCATTTAGATCTTAGCGCTACGAATGTAATTTAAATCTTTGCGCGCAATTTCTATACATTATTTTTTTAAAAGAATATTTTTCTCTCGAGAAAAGAAAAGTAAAATTTGCGGGGCTCCCAAAATTGCTAGCCCGTCTCCCTCTCCTCGTTTCCTCTACCTCTGTGACTCTCTTCTTTTTTTTTCGTCAGTCTCTCCTCTATTCTCTCTCCTGTGTTTCCGGCGGAGGCACGAGCGCACGGACAGCCTCCTCCCCCCGCCTCCACCTCCGCGCGGTCGCCGCCGGCGAGGAGGCGGCGCCGGACGAGCTCCTCTCCTTCCCCGCCACGCCGTAGCATCCTCCTCCTCCCCCGCGCGCGCGCCGCTGGGCGAGCAAGTCTGGGGGCCAGGAGCGAGCAGCGCGGCGCGGCGCGGCCCGGCCAGGCCTCTCATTCCACCACCACTGGCGCCCATCTCGGCGGCTCGGATCGAATTCAGAGGTGATTCGAGAGAGACTCTTCTCTCGTAGCCCCTCCGTTCACTCCCTCCTCCTCCTCGTTGTCTCGTGTTCCGGCGTGGCGTAGATTGGAGACCTGTATTGATTTTTTTTTTTTGCGCCTTCGCACGCAGTTTCGTCGCTTGCTCTCCGACGGCGGCGATGATGGAGGCGGAGGAGGCGTTCCCTCCGCAGAGGAATCCCCGCCGCGCGCGGCGCCGCGACCTCAACGCACTGGTTTGATCCGATTGACCCCCTCAGTTTTTTTTTTTAAAAAAAAATTATTGTTGTTATATAACTCCCCATCGGTTTAGCGGCCCTGTGGCCCTGTCATTGTAGACGTTTGATGTATGCAGGGTTTGAGGTTTTACTGTGAAATTTGACTCTCGTTTCGAGGTTTTACCTGGAATGGATTGTCTCGATTTTATGGGGGGTTTAGGGTTCCTTACGTGAATGAATGGCTGTGTGTTTGCAGTGGTTCATGTTCTAGTAAGGAATTGTGATTTCGGGTTTATATATTTACAGCGGCAGGTTGTTTGTGAGTAAAGGACTCGAAGGTTAGGATTTTTTTGTAGTTCCAATTTGTTCGTATTTAGGCTTTACTGTTTTATATTGGTGAGTTGGAGTGACATTTTAGTTTCCTGAGGCAGTTTAGTTCAACCCATTATACTAGTTCATCCTCGATTGGTTTTGTGTGTTGCAACCTCTGACTATTAGGATTTAGTACTTAACATAGATGACTGCTCCAGCTCTTTTAATGGGCCAAACGAGGTATCATGCCGCGCCATCCTGATGATCTTAAATTTGCCAAACAAAGTATCATGCTGTGCCATCCTGATAATCCTAAATTTAGGACATTCTATATGTGCAAGTTCAACGAGTAGTGATTCCATTTCTATGTTGTAGAGAAGGTTGATTTTTTAGTTGTCATCAATTTGTATAAGCTGGAAGACACTTTAGGTTTTGAACATGTTGCATTTGCTATGTTCTGATGATTGAGGTATTATTTCAGGATCCCAGTTTAGAAGAGTCTGATGGAGAGGATATTGGTGTTCCAGAAGTTGGCATGGTGTTCAATAACCACACGGAGGTCAACCGATTCTACCGAAGGTATGCTCGCCGTGTTGGCTTTGGGGTGTCTGTTAGGAGGTCCTCATTTTCACAAGAGGGCACCTGCTTATATCTGGAGCTCATGTGCTGCAAAGGAGGGCGGCCACGTTATGAGCCAAAGTTCAGGAAACGGGCCTCTTCAACCACTAACTGTCCAGCCAAGATCAGAGTAAAGCTATGGGGAGATAAATTGTTGCATGTAGAGTTGGCAATCCTTGATCATAATCATCCTGTTAGCCCAGCAATGGCAAGGTTTTTGAACTCCTATAAGCAGCTATCTGGCCCTGCAAAGAGGCGATTACGTATGGGTGGCCCTGGAGCTATGCCAGTGGAAGAACCAAGCAAGATGCCTGTTGATAAGTTGGGTGCACTTGAGGAGCTTTTGTTTGGAGAGAGCAAGCACCATAGTTTTGTTGAGAGGGGCCGCTTGAAGTTCCAACCTGGAGATTCAGAAGCCCTTCGGCTTTTCTTTACTCGTATGCAAGCCAAAAATGCAAACTTCTTTAATGTCATTGACTTGGATGATGAAGGCTGTGTCAGAAATGTCTTCTGGGTAGATGCACGGTCAAGATCCATGTATGAGTTCTATAACGATGTTGTCACACTTGACACATCGTATGTGGTCGGTAAATATGATATGCCTCTTGCAACTTTTATTGGGGTGAATCATCATGGCCAATCTGTTTTATTGGGTTGTGGCCTGCTTTCAGATGAAACAGCAGAAACCTATTCATGGCTATTTAAGGCTTGGATAGCATGCATGTATGGTAATCTTCCAAAGGCTATCATCACTGGCCACTGCAGGGGCATCCAGAGTGCGGTTGCTGAGGTTATTCCTGGAGTCCATCATAGAATATGCCTATTTCATATAATGAGGAAGGCGACAGAGCGATTAGGTGGTCTGTCGGAGTACGCAGCTATCAGCAAGGCTTTCCAAAAAGCTGTATATGATTCTTTAACCATAGATGAGTTTGAAGGAAATTGGAATGCTCTGATTACATACAATGGGCTTCAGGGTAATGACTGGCTAAGATCAATTTATGAGTGCCGATACTCATGGGTTCCTGTTTTTCTTAAAGATACATTTTGGGCAGGAATGTCTGCTACACAAAGAAATGAAAATATCATTCCTTTCTTTGATGGATATGTAGATTTGAAAACCACATTGAAGCACTTTCTTGGGAAGTATGAGATGGCCTTGCAGAGCAAATATGAAAAGGAGGCCCAAGCAGATTTTGAGACATTCCATAAGCAGCGCCCACCTGTGTCAAAATTCTATATGGAAGAGCAACTGTCCAAGGTATACACCCATAACATCTTCAAGAAATTCCAAGATGAAATTGAAGCAATAATGTACTGCCATGTATCTTTCATTAATGTTGATGGCCTCATATCCACATTCGATGTCAAGGAATGGATTTTCCTTGAAGATGGTAAAAGGACTATGAGCAAGATCTTTACAGTGACAAATAACACAGATAAAAATGATTTAACTTGTATCTGTGGAGGTTTCCAGTTTAATGGAATATTGTGTAGGCATAGTCTCTCAGTCCTCAAGTTTCAACAGGTTCGTGAAATTCCTCCACACTATGTTCTTGATAGGTGGAAAAAGGATTTCAGACAGTTGCATGTGATGGGGCGTCCTTCAAGTGATGTTGTTCCAAACAATCGTGTGGATCGATATGATTATTTGTCAATGAGATGTCTGCAGCTAGTTGATTCAGCAGTCCTATCAGATAAATATCGTCTTGCTTTGAGATTGGTGAGGGAGATGGAGAAGTTTATGTTAAACAGCAACACGCATGATGATACACAACCAAGGATCAAGTCTCGCATTCCTAAAGCAAATAAACCAAATACAGTGGTTGGTCAAAATCTGGTAAACGTTGGCACTTACAATGGAAATGATAGGCCCAAAGCAACAACAGAGGTATCTGTTCAACCTGTAGTTAACATTGTAAAGATGCCTATTATGTTGGAAGCATTATGGTAAATAACTATGAGAATAATCATCTTAACCCACTGCCTATCTGATTGATCTTATTTTGCAAGATGCAGGCTTCTTCATTAACACAGGGATTGGATGTCCAGAAGGTACTACATTTAGCTATGGCATGAGTAAATTTTGGTGCATTATCCTCTTTATAGGTGACATTTGTTAATAAGGATATTGATTTCTATTTTTTTTTAACTATAGGGAGGAGCAGAAAAGGGCATAGTTCCTGCTGGTTACATTGGACTGCCAGCTAATGTTCAGCAATTCGTAGGCAGTCAAACAGCGATTCGCCCAAGCATTGTGTATATGGTTCCGGTATGTCAAAGTTACAAATGACTATATCTGCTCAACTGTGCCTTGATAGTATCTACAGCACCAGAGGACCAAATTCTAGGATATTTGGTTGCTTTTCTTGCACAAACATATGTGGATTCATACAACTCATCTTTATTTGTTAATGCATAAGCCCCAAGTACTCATCATTTTTCAGGATATGTGCTGTGAACTTGATTCTTTCTTATTTAATTTTTCAGAGTGGTGTTGACCCACAGGCATTTGGAAATGGTGTTCTGATGCCTGTTGTGTACCAGCAGATGTTCCAGGTTTGTATATTTTTGTGTTAGGACTTGAGAAGTTAATCCGTTCGTCTTGTAGGATGATTTCACGTTTATCGCTGGTATATCTAGGTACCCCAGCAGCCAAATGGAACCATGCCAGATACTTCAGCAAATGGAAAAAGGAAGCGGCCTCGTGCCCAGAAGCCAACAGAGGCATCTGAACAGTCAAATGGAACCCCGGCAACAGGACCCACATCTGGGTAGATTGAACAGTTTCTCATTTAGTCAGAACTCAGAACAGGTTTTCTTGAATTCTCACCCCTGTTAACCTTCATTGTGCAATCGTTCATTGAGTTTGTTAGAATCTGATAACCACATTTGCCATAACGTTCACATATTCTCCATAACTGCATCCCAGGTCTTTGTAAATATGCAGAGGAAGTGAAGAGTTGCCTAGAGAACTTCAAACGGATGCTAGCACTAACAAAAGTACATCAAATCCATCTTGGCTGTGATCTGAAGCCTTTGTGCTGCAGAGATTGAGCACGGCCAAGCCCAAGCGCCATTCTTCATTTGGATCATCCTGGAGTGAAGTCCAGGGTTGAAAAATAGCCTTCACCTCATTTGACTTTAGTTGATTCCAGCAACATTAGCCGATAATGTTTTTGTGGCTCTGCCATGATATACAAGTTCTGAAATCTCGCTGTCGTTTCCATGGTAATATGTAAATGATTTTTTGATGGACTAACCTGGTCATTTGACTGGATTTTTTTAGTTCGGAGGCTTAAAGACTCCCTTAGCATCATGCTAGCCATCTCAAAATATAGCTAAGCTAAAAAGACATACTTCAAGAAAGTAGCGAAATCTCCTCTAGCTGGCCAAATTTAGTCGTCCTCCCTCGCTAGCCAGTAGCCACTCTTTCCAACAGAAAGAGGGGAGAGGTTGAGTGGTTGACATGCAGGTCCCACTTAGGGCATCCATGTGGATTTCATCTGGATTATTTGCACTGAGGGATCGAGGTTATGATGCTCATGTTTTCAAGCTATGGGTCCCAACTTAATTCCCATATACTCGTATATCTCAAACATTGTGAAAGGTATCACCAGTGAAACTTTACCGAAACAAGTATGCCTCACCTTAATACCTTATGATCCCATTGGACTATATAAATCGGTAATGCCCTAGGGGCATGCGCAATGGTTATTGCCGAACGTGAATACGATAGACACCATAATTCTCTTAAAAATTTAAGTAGATCTATTTTTTTTAAAAAAAAAGTTTTAATTTCGTAGTAATATGTAATTAATCATGCGCTACTGATCACCACGTTTTTCCGAGCCATACAGTCTCTAGCCAAACTGCGCAGTCGAGTCAGTCGAGCTAGCCCTATACTTACCGTGAGCACGGGTGCCCATGCTCGAGAGAACATTTTCTGCCCATTACCCACGACGCAGACACGCAGTGACGTTCGGGTGCGACTGCGGTGGCTAGCCAGATAGTAAAGTTTCGCTCAAAGTAATATCGTATAATAGAATCGTATCGTAATATCGAGATACTATGAGATTTTTATTTTTAAGTTTAATTAATATTTATATTAATTATATATAGCCATTCTATATAAAATAAATATAGTAATGATATATGTCATGCAAATAGAGATATTTATCAAGGGAAACCACATTGGTTTTGATATATTTTACTGATTTTTATATAAATTTGATCGTATTTATTTACATTATTTTCAAAACACGTTATTTAAAATAATATTTTATAGTATCGTAGGGATTGTAGAATCGGAATACCACCTAAGATTTCGTAGGATAATGTAGTAATGAATAGTAGTATCGAGATACTATGAAAATTAGGATACTATGTGGGATCGGTATTGTTTCGACTTGTAGAATCGTAGTATCGTAAGATACTATGATATAAATTGGGATACTAACGACCTTGCGGCTAGCGACAACGATTGCAGCATATCCAACCTATTCTACGTCCAAATTCGTTGTACTAGAATATGTCACGTCCTAGTACTTGATTGGTTTTTTTTTTGACATGACACACCCCAGTGCAATAAATCTAAACATAGATTTATTATAGGATATATCACATTCTATTACTAGATTAGCTCCGTAATACAATAAATCTGGACATACTCTATCCGAATTTATTATACTAGAATATGTCACATTCTACTGGATTGACTATTTTTTTTGGGACATATCACATCCTAATACTAAATTGACTTTTTTTGGAACAGGGAGCATGTCAAACAGGTGGAGATCTAACCGACGGCGCTAGGCAGCGGCTAGCGGCAATTCCGACTTACGTTAGACAAGGAGTGGTACCTGGTACAGGAAAAAAAAATCACATCTTCCATGACAAATTTTAAAAGGCGCGTGAATTGGGTGACAATTTCTGAAAGACTGATGGCAAATACTGAAATCCCTCTGCCAAATTTGCTTCAGCCATCTCTTGCTCCTACAAAGCAAAATGAGCTCAGCAGGAATTTTCTCATCCTGTGAACCGAGATTTCTCCCAATTAGAGTGAATCTCATGCTTCTCCGCCCAGCGCCTGCAAATGAACTACACACTAACCATGCATCGCCCAAACAAGGCCAACGGCCACAATTTGCACGTCCCGGCAGGGAGGGCGTCTTACAGTGTAATTTTAGACAATAGACAAAGTCATAAACTGAACCAAACATACATTTAACAGATACTCAGGGGTTCAAAATAGATCTAAAATATGGTGACTAGAGGGTAGCATCCAAATCCAGCCAATCCGTATTTCCACTTCCACAGCAACCAGTTGAAATTTCGGTTGCAATTTACCTGCCGATCTAGAGCGCTGAGCCTAACTATATGAAAGTCCACATCTTTACAGCAAGCTTCCCTGGCAAATCACGGGCCACTGATCAAAGTTTGCTACTCTGCTCAGAGAAGAGATGCACAAAAAATGGCCGCGTCGCTTTTGATTTACACACGACACAGCCATGAAGTAGCTGAGATACTAGAAAGGTTTCGCCTCGACTGAAATGATACGGTATCAATCTCAACAGGCCAAAAAGCTTCCAGACGCATTTCCATCTACTGCCGTCCTTCTTCCTCATCTTCATTGTTTTCATCTGTTTGTGATGCCAGCTTCACAATGTCTTCCACACGGATCTTCCCATCTGTAGCATATTAAAAAAGACAGAGGACCAGTTAGGAAACAGCACAAACAATTGTGCATGCACTATCATCAGCAGAACATAAAAACATCAGGGAGGACCTTTGTCTTTAGAGAGGTTGCTGACAAGCTCTTGGACGCCTTCCTTTCCTATTGTATCCTTCAGATAAGCTGCTGCTGACGCTACCTCCTCAGGAGTCACCTTGCCATCAAGATCCCTGCAAACAAAATCCACAAGTTGTTTGTAACTTCCAAGTGCAACCTGATGTCCTGGTCAATAACTCTTTACTACAAATCAAGTAAACATCAAGCTCCCACATTATCCAGGAGAAGCATCTGTGCAAACAGAACTTAATTTCAAAACATTTTTTGCTTAATGAGGGGAATACGTCTCATATATTCATTGTACTGAGGCACATGAATCGGCCAAATTATCCTACAACTATGATTTTCACACAGCTATAAACAGTTGAATTGGTTTATCTGAGTTGTAATTCACTTGTAAGGGCATGGCGGATAAATTATAATAACAGATGGTAGTAAGTATTCGTTCTCATAACAGGGAAAAAGGTGACAATAATAATTATTTTAGCAAGACAATATTAATGAAAATTCACTAGATGTGGAACAGCAAAACACACTAGTTGACTAGCATGACACAAAAAAATTCAGTACACAGCAAGGGACATACCTATCAAGAATTTGCCATCGGTTTCCAATTTGTGCATCCACGTCATCAATCTCCTTTTCTAATTTCTGGAGCATAGCATCAACCTAAAATACAGAACGATTGTCAACGACTAAACCGCAAATCATAAATATTATAGGACCGTATTGATCAGCAATAGTAGTATTGGAGAAACATCTCCAGCATCTAAGGTGAAGTTCATACATAAGTCAATCAAGAAAGACGAAAGTACATAACATGTAACAAGTCAATCATGGCAATAAAAAAAACCAAGACTAGAAATTTCAGAATGAGTGCTGGCATATCATTCTTGAATCTGTATATCTGAAGTATAACACAGTTGATGTTAGCTATAGTGTTTTGTTCTCAAGCTGGCATATGAAGGGGGAATAAAATTATGCAGATTCCATCTATAGAGGAAAACTTATCAAAAAACAATAAATCAAAGTTTCAAGTGATCCTCTTTTTAGGATTTACACGAACTCCTTATATTTTCAAGCAGAGAGATTTACACGAACTACTTATATTTTAAAACAGAGATGAACCTAATATGCATGTTACCTGGAGGGGGGAGGGGGGGGGGGCATTTCAGTCACCGTGGTAAACTATGAATTTGCATGCAGGATGAAAAGTATCAGTACCTTCTCAATCAGCGCCGATGAGACCTTTTCTTCTTCATCAACCTCAGCAGCCTTGTCCGACTCTTCTCTAGCAGCCATGTAAGCTTTCTTAGCTTCCTCTTCACCTTCTGTACCCTCCTTTTCAAGCATAGAGTTATACAGTTCAATCTGCATTCAACAAAGACCAAGAGTTATTGAACCCTCCCAAGTATTTGCAACAAAAATGGAAGATAACTGCATGAACAATTGTCACTCTAATATCACTTTACAAGTTCATATGATACCTCTTTGTTGACAAGGCTGAGGAACTCTTGACGCTCCTTGCTAACAGACTGCAATATAAGGAAGTCAGAAAAATGGCCTGTTGAATGCTCATAATTACAGTAAAAGAAATGCATAATTATTTTCTATCATATAAAAACAGTAGTGGTTCAATAGAATTATAAGGATACTAAAGTCAGTGTATAGTTACCAAAAGAAAGTATGGACTAACTAGGATCATACCGATGCGGATGCCAGTACAGCCAGTGCTCGACTAAAATTACAGAGCTTTTCCTTATCGTGCTGTTTTGCTTCTCTCAGTTCTTCTTCTTCCCTAGCAGTAGGACCAGTCATTTCCTTCAAAGCCAAATCTTCTTCAGCAGCCTTTGGTTCTTTGAGTTTGGCCTTTTCTTCTTTCTCTTGTTTCGCTTTTTCTTCTTTCTCTTTCTTCTTCTCTTCCTCCTGAATATTTTCATATCAAAAGCATTAACAATTCAATGTTAGCAATATTATCCTGAAGATAGAACAATTGGGCTACAGTTCAACCTAGGGATTTTAGAAGTATCACGCAGAACATAAAATAATTGGGATACTGTTTAGTCCTACTTCTAGCAGTATTTTGCTGAAATGAAAGTAATTTGTTTCAGAAAAAGGAAAAAGCATGTTCCTTCCACAATATTAAACTAAAGTTGACACATCAGATTTCATCAACAGACTTATGTTCTTCTCAAGCTAAGTGTAAATACAGCATATTATAGTTCTTACATCCAATGGATTAGCTGATAAACAGAAACTTAACAGTCTAAATTTGAGTAAAATTTGTAATGACTCCTCCAAACTTCTTAATATGGGCACATAAACAGAAACTTAACAGTCTAACTTTGGCACGTGTGAAAACACACGTCACACAAGAATCAGTTAATGCATCACAATTTAGATGCACTATCGTATATGTGTTGTTTTCTCCAATTACTCTTTTTTCAGTCATTCTTTTTTTTGTTCTTCACAAGGAAAAGTTTGAATAGTATAAACCATGTACTGTTTCTGATATATGCATTACCAAGAGGATATGGAAGATCCTATGAGGTTCAAGCATGAAACCTAGCAAGGGCACAACAGAACATGCAATACTAAATACTAATACGCCTAACATTCACACAAATCAGAATCTGAGAATGCAGAGTGCAGATGATCCATCAGTTGTCCTATAAATGGATGTGTTTCTGAACTAGGTCAAATACAATTTAATATAAATTAAGATATGGTACATAAAGATTAAACACAGGAAGCATTTTTAACAGAGGGCAGTTCTGCATCGGCTGATATTTGTACAATCAAAGTGATTTACTGATTTCATAAATGCCCCAAGAATAACTGTTTAATTTGCACAAGCAGAAGTGAAATATCTTATGTACATAAAGAAAGGACCATATTATGTATACATCACCTTGATAAGTTCTTCCTGCATCTCAAGGAATTCCAGTTTTCTCCTCCTCTCAGAAACCGAATCTTCAGATGGCAATACGGTCCCAACTGTATCCACAACTTCATCTGGTAGAGAAGATAAGGTTGCTACAACAGCCTCCTCAGGCTTCATTTTCCCAGATACGGTAAAAGCTCTAACATCACCAGATATGAGTTAGAATCAAGCACGAACAAATCAAACAGCAGTATCATAGCAAACGAGAAATATGTGATATCAATCAATGTTACCTTGAAAGTATGAGAAGAGAGGATGGCACAGCATGATTAAGTGAGAGATCCAACCAATCTCGGAGCTGGACAGGAAGCAAAATTACTAGCTTAGAAAAATATTCAGTTACAAGATAGCAGTTAGTTTTTTGTAACACACAACAGTATGGTTAAAAGCTATGTGATCAAGTTTTTTATGTGCTCAATTCAAGGTGGAAATGCAGAAGCTAAGTGCTAGTTACAACTTTCCTTCATCTGCCTATCAGACCTAACAGAACATTACCCAAGAAGAAATAATCTAATGAGATCATATGTCTCAAACTAATAAGTAATAAACTAAAGAATGAGAAAGTAACAACTAGGACAAATAATTTTGCACAGAACAAACATATATTCTTTTGTAGAACAAAACTATAAGCCCGGCATGGAAATTGATGGATGGCTCTAATCTATGGAAACACAAAAATGAGTATGCCGCATCACTAGTCATTCTTGACACAAGAATCAAAGGTGTGTTAAAATGACCGAAGTTAAGCCTAGACATGTGCATGAGATATCATTATCACGGATATGTTGTTTGGACTAAATGGACAGTGGATGGAAAAAGGTGTGAACTAATTCGTCCCAAAAAGGAAGAATGGCATATAATGTGAGAAAGGAATGAATGCCAAGAGTGACGTATAGGCAGCGAGAGTAACAAATAATTCCAGCAAGTAAAAGAGTGAATAAATTGTGTGGATATGCATATAGCGGAAACAATGCAAAACCAACCTGTTGGCGCATTTCTTCTGTTGACAGCAAACCTAGGTGACCACGTTCACGACAGGCTTGCCGAAGTTCCTCTTCAGAGAGAGACTCAACACCCTCAGCTTGAATCATCTTATCGTCATTCTTAATGCTACATATAGAAGAATATAATTACAAACCAAAAATAAATAAACTCGGTCCCAAGGGGAAAGACCTCCCCCAGGGCATTTCAATACACCTGAAACCGGGGGCTGGGGAAGGCCACGAAAGCCAGTCCCCCCCCCCAACCCCCAACCAAAAAAAAAAAAAACTCGGGGAGACGCCCCCTATGGATCAGGAAGGTGGGCCCTCACTACAAACAATAACCAGATATTTCGCCCTACTATTATGGAAAATGCAAACGGCAGCAAAGTAAATAGCAAAACAACTAGTGCATTGAATAATAAGATACTGTTAAAATATCTTATCTGTACAGCAAATAATCATAGTTGTTAAACCTGAGAAACTGTTCGAGTCAAATGTATGCCACAGCCACTTAGGGTACATAGATCTTGAAAAATACAAACAAATACAAATTCTGGTGTTTACTAAGTTTCAGTTGCATATCCAGCAAAAAAATTACTGTTTATTTTCTTTGCATATGAATTAGGTGCCGTAGACTTTTGCTTGAAATCACTCCTTTGTTTTACAATTTGCAGGCCACCCACCTCTGTTCTTATATTATGCAATTATGATAAGAGACTACAAGATTGCAAAAATCACTCAGTATGCCATTTGATGGTTGTCTTCTAAGCTTTATGAGAGAAAGTACTAAGCAATAAGCTATCCCCAGGTATCCATCACTCGCTGTATTTCAAAATTGACCATTCCAAACTTCCAGTCATATTTATGTCAAACAGATTTAAGACACCAAATATGCAAATCTAATTGGCACTCCAGTTGTTAAGTTAAATATTTTCATACATGTCATATAATCTTCTCGACGCAAGTACTTACTCTTGCAGTTTTTTGCGAAGCATGAACCTCAAGTAGTGGTCAGTACCGAAAGGTCGAATACCCATATATTTGCACATGTTTACCAAGCGTGGTCTGCAGAAAAATTGAAAAAAGAAATATCAATCAGCAATCAGCTCTAGTGTAATGTGATGATGAACTTACAAGTATATTAAGAATGGTAACCTGCTCATGTTATCCAAAGTCAGCTCATCATTAAACAGCTTCGCGAAGTTCAAGATTTCATCATTTGAGACATGTTCACCTCTCCTAACCTAATTACCATTTAAAGTGAGTTATTCGACAAACAAATTCAGAAAATCGTCTAACCTTCTAGTGACAAACAACGCATGTATAGAACTTATACCTTGTTCAAAAATTCATCAAGATCTTCGGCTGTTTGTTTTATTTCTCCACTACGTGATGTTTGAACTTCCTTTGCCATTTCTTTTGCAGTATCTTGCAAAAACTTGGCATACTCCATTCTTGCTTTCAGTTTCCTTTTCAACGCTTCCTGCACAGATGAGTGAACTACATTCTTAAACCAATCGATTTGCACTGCAATAGTTTTTGTGGTTCCAGTATAGGTGGTACAAGGGGACACCAAATTAAACTCGAGATGCAAAAATCTCTCATTAGCAAACATGGAAGATGCATACAACCTCCTATTGACTTGTTACCATAATGATAGTACACATGCATTAGTAAAGTATCAGTAAGACAACACCAAGTAGAGAAAATCAAACGCCTAAACAATATTGATCACATTAGCATATTATGTAACTCAAGTTGTTACACTGACATACCTCTTCTTTCATCTTGTCTTGGAAAGTTGAGGGAAGCATATTTGGAAATAACTTGAGGAACACTGGAAGTAAGAACTCCATGAATGGAACAATGATGAACACAGCAAAAGGTACCAGCCTGAAGATATCTGCTGTTGTACGGGTCAGTTGTTGTCTCTCTCTTCTTGAAAGGTTCTTTCCACCAGCAAGTTTCACCAGTAATCTTGACGAAATCCTCACATCTGCCCAGAGTAGCTTTGTCCCTAACCAGTAATGCTGCAGCGTTGACACAAATTCATCCTTCCAGTGCTTCAGCTTTGCAGCCCAATCAGCTCTGAACACATAAAAAGAAACAAATGTTAATAAAAGAAAGGGAAAGGGGAAATTAATATTCTTGTCTTAAAATTATGGGCTGGAGGGCAAAGAGAAGGAAGTGAGACCTGCTCATCGAAGCAACAGCTCGGAGAGCAGGACCAATACCCAGAAGCCTCGCCCAGAATTTTCGTACAATTGATTGGCCAGCCTTTACAGATTCTTGTACCTGCTTAGCTTTGGCTTTAGCTTTTGCACTGCTTAGGCCTTCCACAGCCTGATCACATTCTTCTGGGGATGCCTCCTTTTTCCTTTTGTTCTGTTTCTGATCCTCACTCTGTTCATCTTCAATATCCAACTTAGGTTGCCCAGCTGTTGCAGTTGAGGCTGTGCGGACTGACTGCAGCAAATGTCTAGCACCCATAGGCAACCCAAATTCCTTCCTTCCAATTCCATAAGCAGGTAGAGAAATCCCATGGGCTGGGCGCCGCAGAAGCCCATTACCAAGGGCTAGTAGATCTCCCTTTATCAATTTCACACCATACTGCCCTTGCTCCCATTTGGAATCCCCAGAGCTTTGCTCAAGAAATCGCTGTCCGATTCTTGATTCATCCTCAGAACCAGATCTTCCATGTTGGAAGGTAGAGAAGGGGGACAATGAGAGGGTAGGTGCGTTAACATGATCCAAAAGATACTTCCTTCTTCTGATGACCGCCCTTGAAGCCATACTTAATTGCTTCACACCTTTCCAATTAGAAGGCCAAGGTCATGCCTTTTTCGGACAAAGACCCTGAAATAATCCAATTCAAGCATAAACGTGTGGATTATCCACAAAGGGAAAAAAGAAAGAAGCAGCACATATGAGTGAACAATATTCATTCCAAGAATTCTAGCTTAATGTTTAAACAAATTTTGCTACTTTCCCCCAAAGGCCCTACATTTGCTGGTTTCAACGATGAAATAAGGATTATCCAGAGTTCCCACAATACTGCACGTGGTGTGTTGAAGTGGGAGTTTAAATCAACAAGATAGCTATCACCAGAAATTCACTTCAAGCATCCAAGGGCATCTCAGCACAACACTAACATCGGTAGAAGTTTGCTAGAATCTAACAAATGTAAAGAATGGAATAGGAATCAATTCATTGAACCTAACAGATAAGAAAATTACTATCGCGAGCTGGAACTAGGGAACCAGCTACTCCCATGTTGCTAGAGTACAGATACAGGGAACCCAAGTAACACAGTAAATTAAAGTCCACTCATTTCACAATTCCTGTGAAGGCAAATAATCGAGGGAAAGATACAGTTCTGGTAGCTACAGAGAACCAACAACCCAGAGACAATCCAAACACACGGCACTTAGGATCTACCAGTGTAGCGCTACAACATCATGGAAAAAAATAAAAAGAACTTTTAGGAAAAACACTAATTCGTTTGCATTGATCAACACTGACAAATCAATCCTAAGATGACCACAGCCAAATCACCCAAAAGAAAAACAAAAAGAACGCGACACCGATGAGCAAAGAGCGAGCTCACCCACCCGGCTCCCGATCCACTCCACCCAACGACCTACTCGCGGCTCAAACGCGAATCCCCCAGCAGAGAAACCCAGGGGAAAGAAATCAAAGAAAAACACGCCCAGGGATCGTCTCGAGGTAAAGCGGGGGTGGAGAGTGAATCGGCTCACCGCCGGGCGAGAGGCGCGCCGCCGAGCCCGTCGAGCTGCTTGGATCGAGGAGGGGTTAGGGTTTTGGAGAGAGGAGGAGGAGAGAGAGAAGAGGAGGGACGAGAGAGAAGAGCAGCCGCTGGGTATTTGGAGGGGAGAAGGGGAGACAAGCCGTGAGAAGAAAGAAAGAAAAAAGTGCAGCGGCCGAGAGAAGAGAAAAAATTGCGAGAAAATAGGGAGAGGGGGAAATAAAGTTTTCGCGGCGCGGCAGCGAATGACATGTGGGGACTGTCTAAGATGCAGATTTAACATTTTTTTCTAAAATTGTTGAAGTTTATTACATCCGTTAACTTTCTTTGTTCACATGTTTCAGAAAAAACTTTCTTTGTCACATGTTTAACCATTTATCTTATTAAAAAAATTTAATTATAATTTATTTTGTTATAAGTTAATTTATCACTTAAATTAGTTTAAGTACGATTTATATATTATACATTTACATAAAATTTATGAATAAAATAAATGGTCAAATATGTGTTTAAAAGTTAATGGCATCATCTATTAAAAAAGAATAAATTATTTATATATATATATATATAGCTTGTCTTAAAATATTGGATAAATCAAATTTTTATGTTTGGAATAATTAAAACTTTATTAATTATGTGGTATTTTTTTCTCATTTTACATATCCATATTTAGTTATCTCTGTCGAAGGAGAAGCCAATTCTAATGCGGAGAAAAGAATCGGCATGTTTCTATCGTTTGTCTTTCAGCTTATAAGCAGCTATCAAATTTTGAATTTAAATATTTAATTTTAGAGTTGGTATATTAGAGTTTGTTATTGCAGTTTATTTTTTATTATTGGTTTTTAAATCGCTAAGTACACATGTATAAAAGTTTTGCCCGTAATTTATTTTTCTAATAAGCCGTTTTATATCCTATCAAAGGTATCAGAATCTGCTAGGGTAGGCGCGTACTCCTTCCAGCAACTCGGTCACAATATTTTGCTCAGCTTGTGACCTGCAACTTGGAATTACAGTATAAGTTTTGAAAATTAAAATAACTGTAGAACTTGGAATTTGTTACGGTCTTACTATTTTTCCCCCGGTTTTATGCTCTGTATTTTGTATTTGATGAGGTGCCAATACGAGCAGCCTATTTGGTGGAGTATATGCTTCCGCTACCTTTTCTTTTTTAGCACACGTTATTGATAGTACTCCCTCCGTCTCTAATATAAAAGATTACTTGCACTGTTTAAGCACTCGTCTTATTTAAAATTTTTTAAAATTATTATTTATTTTATTTATAACTTACTTTATTATCCAGAGTACTTTAAGCACAACTTTTTATTTTTTTTCCATATTTTTTTAAATAAGAGAAGTGGTCAAACAATACGACTCCTAAGTAAAATGTCAAAATCCATTATATGAGGAGCAGATGATAACTCCTAAGGTATATTCCTCATGTACTTCATTATCTGCTTGCCCTCCTGCAATGGAGCTCATGGATCCATTATATGAGGAGTTGATGATAACTCCTAAGGTATATTCCTCATGTACTTCATTATCTGCTTGCCCTCCTGCAATGGAGCTCATGGATATATCTAGTTTTTTTTTTCCGCTGCAGAGTTACATGGTAATGTCCTCTTAACAAAGAGGTTGATTAGACTTCCTTTTCAAACTTTTTACGATGTTATAGCTCACGAAATTTGTGTGGAAGTTTCAACAAATATAAAATGTAATTGATCGGCAAGGGGGGCTTTGGGGAAATGCTTGCGAGCAGCGTTGAACGTTCAGAAAATTAACACATTATTCCAGTTAAAAATGATATAATTCATAAGAAAGTAAAAGCGGGCTGATTATAGTTACAAATATTTTTTGGAAATACAAAAACGTGAAAAATGACCACTATCTCCTCGACAACTCGATACAATTTTCACCGTGTTTACTCACATATGCAAAAAGGGCGGAAATCTTGACGGCAACCAGGCTATCTCTCTGAAGCTTGTTTCCTGTATCAGGTGAAAACGTGAGAACCAGGCAGATTCTGATGGTAGAACAATCAGGGGAAATAAAAAAAGTTCAAAATAGTTTGGAGATGAACTAAAGTTTGAGAGCTCGGAGAGCTGTATACCATGGTAACTTAAAAGTGTCTCTCCACCGAGTCTGCTTAGTAAAACTCGTGGATATCTTGTTCAGGCGTACGATTATCTCTTCGAACGTCGGCCTGACCGAAGGTGTTGGATCCCAGCACTCCTGTATAAGCCTGCATGCAACGAACCACCGTGAGAGGCAAATGGCATGAAGACAAAATGAAACATAGGCGGTTTTGCATTGAAAAGAACACCGTGCTTGATGATGTTTTAGGTGCTAAAGTCTAAACCTCCACAGTACAGCCGAGCTGCTAAGAAAAAAAGGTGAAGGAAGCAGCTTTTGCAAAGCGACATCGTTTGCCTTTTGGCTTATCGAACGGAACCAGAATTTTGATTTTTATAACCTAATTTTAAGTTGATTTTAAGATTTTTTATCATATTTATATTGGCTTTTAAATCGCTAAGAGAACATATATAAAAGCTTTACCCATAAATTAATTTTTGGATTGATAATAAGCCGTAAAACGACTTATCAGCGGAGTATAAACCAAACGATTAAACTCGGTTGCGAATTTTGATTGAGCAGAAACAAAGCTCATTGCGAGACCACCAAGGTAATAATACAGTGCATAGAAACTACTTCTAGTTACTAGTTGAAAAGCTTATAGTAAAGATTCACTCACTCTCTCAAATCATCAGGATAGTATTTGGGTTTGTTCTTGAACGGTGGTCTCATACCCTCCAAACAAATCATTTTCGCCGCCTCCTCCGGTGGTTTTGGGTGGAAAGCATGAGTTCCTTCAATCATCTGAATCATAAAAGTCCATGCAGAAAATGCCATTTTAAAAAGATGCCAGTTCAAGTAAATATCGGAGTCAAATCAAACCACCACTGTGGATTTTTTTTTCTTCTCTTTCAATACATTCAACTGTGACAACTCTTTAGCATATAGGAGTACAAATTGATTCTGTTGCGTGTAAGATGAATGCTTTTACATACCTCATAAAGAATGAGACCAAATGCAAATACATCTACACTTCTGTCAAACGTTCCATTTCTGTACATCTCAGGAGCGGTGTATACACCTAGGCAAAATACGGTATGAAGATTGTTGAGTACAAGATAGAACACCAAGTGTTCAAGTGACTCTTTTGCACATAATAGAAGATAAAATACAAAACATGCACACAGCCCATAGTAAACCGATTCTATTACAGGCCATGGAAAGTTAGTTAAAATGATACAAAACAATACAGGGAGAAAAACATTCATAAGTCTTAACTTCACGTAAAGAACAGATGCAGCTGCAACGGGGCCAATAAAATTGACTAAAGGACTGTAGCTCTTTGGAGCAAAGGCCGGGATGTTACTCATTCCATTATCTAAAAAAAAGAATATGTTCCGTCTAAAGGATTAACATCATAAATAACTTATAACCATTTAACCAGGTTTTAAAGTACATTTAATCGGTTATAAGCTTCATGCACGTATAAAGTGCCCCCTTTTTTTTTCCAAAATGCATAAATGCATATATCCATTTCAACGATATTCCCTAATAAGCCGTTTGGCTTATTAGTGAATATGGGCAACTGATGAGGCTCTAGAAACCACATGTTATTTTAAAGAAGTATAGACCAATAAGTAACACGATTAGTCACTCCCCAATCAAATGTGCACTTTTGTACATCGCCTAGGAATTTTAAGTAGTACAATATATTGCCAATTTGCCATAGTTTCTGACACTAGAATATGCCCAATATGTATGAACTGAAGTCGATATAAACTGCCAATGAGCAATTTCAGGGTGTAGCATCAAAACAAGAGTTCAACATACTGTTAAATTTTGATGTCGTCTGATCCATTTGTGGATTATCTTCTGAGACTTTAATCAGACTACGTGAGCCAAAGCCTGCCACTTTAAGTTTCCCTTCATCATCCCGCACAATGCTTCTGCAACCTTACCAAAATATCATAACATACAGTGCACAAGTTGAAAGACAGTATGGTTCAAAACATTGAACCAACCCAATGATAAAATTAATTTAATTCAGCTTACTTTGTTGACAGATTGCCATGGATGATTGGCTCTGGCTTGCACTCGTGGAGATAATTTAATCCCCTAAATGAGAAAAAACGAATGCTCTCTCAATTTGTAGAAAAATATAAAATCAGGTTTCCAAAGCTAGCAGACATGAGCTTCATTTTACTCTATTGAATATGTCTTCTGACATACCTCGCAATGTCAAGGGAAAATCTGATAGCTTTGTAAGGCTGCAAGCGACCTTTTGTTTCAAGATAACTGGCTAAATCACCCTAATCCGAAAAAAAAAACAGATTTAGTCATTGATGACAAAAGAGGCATACTGTTCAGGTAAGTTCATAGTACTCTTATCAAGATTATGTGAAAATTGTCCATAGACTGCCAACCATTGCACCAAGGAAATTATCAATTTGAAGGAATATGATTAGGAAATAATTATGTGTAAAAAGACAATCGTTGCCTCCTCCAGTTGAATCAATCATAACAGCTTACCTTTTGATGATACTCTGAAACAATCATCATTGGTACATTTTGTGTAACAGCTCCCACAAATTGGACCAAATTTGGATGGCGGGCCTTCTCCAGTAAAGTAAGCTCGTGTTTAAATTCATTTCTGAGTTGATATAGCAATGAAACTTAGAGTTAGAAGCACAGCATGAAAAATAAAAAAAGAAAAGCAAAAAACACCAAGTAGACAGATCTGGAAAATAGGGAACCTCTATTTATCATTTAAAACTATTTTAGTTTAGGTTACACACTGACCATATGAAAATAACATCCATTATGATATCAACAACAAGCATCACTTCAATAACAATAATATAATTTACTCTTAGTTTTGTCTGTGAAAACAAAGATTGTTGGTCAAGTTTAGTGAACAAAAATAGCATGACGTCACTGAGTAATTGGAATTCCACACTGATATATCCAACAAACTGAAACAACAAATCACTGCACTTGTATGGTTATAATAGTCTAAAAATGCTTTTATGTATATGCATCAGTAATAAAATCCATGTGTAAAAATGTAGTATGCATGAACGGTATTTTTAATCACATGAAGAGAAGATGTAGATCATGGACTCATGGTAGTGAATAGTCGACTGCATGAGGCATAAATAAGGTACAATAGTAAGGAGAATTACGGAGGCAGCTAATACATGCTATTGGCGTCTGAGAAGCTGTCTTTGTCAAGTATCTTAACAAACACTTTGGATCCATACCACCTGGCAACATAGTGACCCTGTAAAAAGTTTTATGGCAAGTAGGATTTGTCAAGATTCTGTGAAAGTCATAAGAGAAAAAAAGGGCATGTGCATTTGCATGAATGTGAAGAAGAAAAGACATGGACCATAATTTAGAAGATAGAACTCACAAAACAATCAACTGATGAAAATACTAAGAACCATCACTAGATTGAGTTTCCATGGGGAGTGGAGCACAATTTATTAATCATTGTAAGTCCAGATATAAATCAGGTGTCATACACAAACACATGCCTTTTAAGTATCATAAGCCTTAGCACTTAAGTGGAAGTTGATAAATACCAAACATATGAATAAACAAATTACTGGAAAAAAAACAGGGGAAGTTGAGCGTGCCTTTGTAACTTCCTCTCCTCTTCTGAACTCGAGTTCAAGTGGGTTCAGCTCATACTCCGGAACTTCTTTGGGATTTGAAACTGTCATCGGGGTCTTCTTTTGTTTCTAAGAAGCAAAAAAAGAAAAAAAAAACATGACACTATATATGTTCTGTATATATGTATCAAAGCAAGTAAGCAACAATCAATTGCTTCAGGAGTTTAAGTAGGTGATTATAGTACCGGAGTTTTTGCTCCTCTTGCTCTCAGAAGGTTGTAAACTTCAAAGTGCCCGTAATGCTTCGCGTCTGCCGCTGGCTGAACATAAGAACATTGCACGCATCATTTATGTTCGATCAGTCAATCGACTTATTCATGGATAGTGCGTACGTGCCTTACACTTCGCTAGTTGCAGTCTTGCAGAAACAAAATGAATACTCGATTACTAGTAATGTTTGATACTTTGATCACACAGAACGAACACTAGAAAATGTTCAGTAGTACATGAACAGTCTTCATCCAGATTCCAGAACTTAGAACAGAGCACCATGGATAGCAATGCGAGGAGAGGAGAGAAGAGAAAAGGATGGCGCAGTACCGTGCTGCCCCAGCGGTCGCGGGCGTTCATGTTGGCCTTCCAGCTGAGCAGCAGGCGCACCACCTCCCCCTGCCCCTCGCAGGCGGCGATGTGCATCGCCGTGCGCCCGTCGAGGTCAATGCTGTCGACGTCCACCCCGTCCCTGAGCAGCTCCTCCACCCCGGCCACGTCCCCCTGGCACGCCGCGAACAGCAGCCGCATCGTCGCGTCCAGGTTCTCCGGCACGGCCAGCATCGCCGCCGCCCCCGACCCATCCTCCGCCGCCCCGCCCCCCTCCCGCGGCGTCGGGTCGAGCGACGACTGCCTCGCGAGCCCGAACCTCGTCGGCCTCGCCCCTCCCCCTCCCCCTCCCCCTCCTCCACCTCCTCCACCACCACCGCCCACCGCCCCCGCCCGCCGCGGAGTGTACACCGGCTCCAGCGACAGCTGCCGCCACACCCTCGCCGCCCCCGACGACAGCTGCCGCGATATGCTCCTCTTCAGCTTCGCCGCCGCCTCCATACCCCGATGGCGATCACCACTCCTCCGAAGAATCCCGCGGCCGCAGTTGGGATCTCGCGCCGTGGGGTGGATGCTTTTGGGGATTGGAGAGTGGGGTTCCACGAACCGAGCGTACTACTGCTACTACTACCGGAGGACGATTAGTATACGCGGAATTCCATTAGCACTCGTAAATCGTACTACTACTAATCATCAAGCGTCCTTGTCAGTGGAATGGAACTAGAACAGTGGGAAGCATATGATGAGAGAAGGGGAGAATACATCCCATTAATTAATAAAATCTTCCGTGCAGGTGAGAGGTAGAGGGTGGGAAATAACCGCCGGGATATTGTTTATTCCGGTGTGGGGGAAAAGGCGCGCGCGTGGTTGGTGTTTTTTAAAATTAAAATTATTACTGGTTGGGTTTGGGGGTTGGGGCGATAGGTGTCACTGACGGGTGGGGCCGTCTCTCTTGTGGGTGTCCTGTCAGTGGGGAGTGGGTGGATTTGGTGGTGTTTATTTGGTTTCTGTCGGTTCGTGAGAACACTTGCCGACGACTATTCAGTTTTTTTGTTTTTGTGTTTTGGTTTGGAGTTGAATTATTGTTGCGTAGCTGGAGAACCGGAAGGATGGTGGGCTACTGGGCTGTGTGATGACTTGTCTGTTGAAATTTTCAACACTTTGTCGTGCAAGACTAGACTGATTCCTATAAAAAAATAATAAAACTGTACCGGTTTATAATATATAGCTTGACAATTTGACCTTTTTTTAATTACTTGCTCTAGTGAACAAAAGAGACTGTTCTGAAATTATCAATCCGTTATCCGCACTTTTCTATTTTTTAGAAAAAAGACACGGTACAAACGTAGACACTTACAACGTGCACACACCGTATTAAATTGATGTAGTACTTAGCTATCCCTTCACGATTCAGGAGAACATTCTGTGTAGGGAAAAAAAGGTTAGAGATGACATTGATGGCCTCATTTTCTTTCGCGGAATCTCCTAAAAGGAGAACAGTTGCGCAGCACGTATAATGGCTTCTGGTGTCCAATCCTGGTTTGCTTTATTTAGGGGATCTTTTAGTTTCCGGCGCCTCAATGGCAACAGTGTCCTGCCCCGTGTTTGGAATGGCGATTGCATCGAGTACGTTCGTGCTTAATCCGGTCGGTTGAGATTTTGAGATGACACATTCTTTTTTTGTGGCATCTCACCAATACCGGATAGCGTATGAGCTATCGAAAATATCCCGTCCCCTGCTGGATTCGGATTATCATATCGCATCCATGAAAGCTCCACCAAACGACAAAGCTTGATGGAGGAATAAATAGCATAATTTCGTTCAGAATTTTCTTTTACTGTTTGATCGATACGCTGCCCCTACTTGCAGCCCGACAGGTGGGCCCCGTGGTGGGTGACACAGTTTGTTCCCTTTGGTAGTTAGCTTCTTCTTGCTTTCCTCTAGCTCAGGATAATGGAGAGAAATTATTAGCCGCCAATGACATGCCACTCCAGCACATGTGGTTAGGAAATACTCTCACATTTTTTAATATATAGTGTCGTTAATCTTTTAAGTTATGTTTGTTCGTTCGTTTCATAAAAGAATTATGTAATTATTATTTACTTTATTGTAACTTGTTTTGTCGTCAATTGTTCTTTAAACATGAAAAAAATTCTTTACATTTGCAAAAAAATAAATAAGATGAATAACCAAACGTCTATTAAAAAATCAACAGCGCATATATTAAAAAACAAAGATACTCTCTCCGTCTCATAATATAACAATCTTAAATCGGATGTAACATAGTATAATGAATATAGTTTTGAGGGTGTAATCCAATAACAACTGGTGGTACTCCCGTCTGTTTATATTTGTTGCACTATTTTATTTCATCCGTTTTATATTATAAGCCATTTTACTTTTTAATACAAACTTTTTCAATAAAAACAAATATATTATCAAAATATATTTAACTTTTAATTTAATGAAACTAATTTGATGCTGTAGACATTGCTTTTTTTACTATAAATTTGATCAAATCTAAAGAATTTTGATTAATAAAAGAATCGGACAACTTATAATATGAAATAGAAAAAATATGTCATATTTGGTTTAAGGTTGCTATATTATAAGATAGGGGGAGTGTAATAAGCACGACTTCCACCTCCGGAGCAAGGGACGCGGGGCTATGGGCCTGTTTGGCACAGCTCTAGCTCGAACTCTATCTCTTTTGGAGCTGGAGCTCAGCCAAACAGTTTTAGCTCCAACAAAACTAGGAGTAGAGTTGGGTGGAGCTCTCCATACCAAACAGGCCCTATGTTGGCAGCGTGCGAGCGAGAGCGTCGCTGTCGTCGATGGCGATGGTGAGTCGCAGTGCGCTTGCTTGCCCGGCGCGACGGGCGGGTTTCGCGCGCGACTGGAAAGCGCTAGCTACTCGATCAGATCGCACGATCCTCTCTTCTCGCTGTCGCTGTCGCTGTCGACGCGACACGATAGTAAATGTACTAGTACTAGTATTATATCGTTTCGTTTTGCCCTCGCGTGGTGGAAGATCAGCATGCAGCATGAATGGGAGAACCGCCCTGGTGTTTCCCTCATTTTGACAAGTGCACCGGTGGCCAGTGCATTGATCAAGTGCGCTTCGTACGATCGAGATGGCGACTTCGCGAGCGGTGGATGATGATGCGCGTACACATGCATGCGCGGCCTTGCACGACAAATGGCCCGCCCACCCAACGTTCGCCACTATACCGCTCTGGCCCGAACGGGCAAATATGATGGACTACACGTGCGCCACGTTACCGTTGCAGGCAATCAATACCTTTCCGGCCCAGTTAGGCAGATATAATGGGCCTCGTACGTCGCGATATTGTTTCGACCCAAATGCAAGGGGCTACAATGGGCCTCAAGTATGTCGCGATAACGTTTCGTTCCAAATACAATGGGCTGAATGTCCGTTGCAATCGCTCGTGCTCACCCGGGGTCTTTTCCCCTCTTTCCTCCGGAACGACTCGATTGGTTCCGATCAGATATAAGGGTATACATGTGTGCGTGTTTAATACTACTACATGTTTCCCGTGCATTAAGATATAGGTCTCCAATCTAAATTCTAACGTGTGTTAGAAACACGCGTGTGGGTGCGTGTGTTGTGTGTGATGTGAGCGTGGTGTGTGTACGTATACGTCCTAATTTGCAACTTAAAAAAAGATCCGGTGATATCTCTATTTTCTGTTTTTTTAGAGTCGCGTGGAGGGAGCTCTTGGCATATGGTCTCGGGCCATCTCTCGGTTTCATCTAAAAAATGGCGTGCTACGATTTACGAGAGGAATCGATGACAACAGTACTCACATGCTCCACGATCTCATGCTTAATTTTTTTCCTCACAAAATAGTCGCTAAACACACGAGAAACGTGACAGCTCCCACGCACGTAAACAAAAACAAAATCGTCCCAACCACTTGGATGGAGTAAAGCAAACGCCGCCTCATTGCACCACGTAACGAATCGATTGACGTGCGCGCCCAAGAAAAACAAAACTACAAAAAGCAACTCCGAAACACGTGGCATCATCTTTTGGCCGTACCGCTGGCACCTGGCATCATCACATGTATATATCGACCCTTCGCACATGCGTGATACTACACTTTCACCTACAAACCCGAGCGGCTCGGTGACACGTACACGGTACACCCTCCAAACCCTTAAGAAAAGAAAACCTCGCAAATTCAGCCATTTCGACGCATCATCATGAGTTGGATGGGTTGGGTCTTTTTATTTTTCGAAGATAACCATGTTGACCCATAGAGAGCGTAGACACGGAGCCGAATTGCCGAAAGCCTCCAAAGCAAAAGCAGGCAGCTGTGGGAGCCGCAGCCGCCGGGGCCGTCGACGTCAGACCAAGATACCGAATATCGGTCGGTCCCCCACGCCGCCCAGCCGCTGCCGCTGCCCGGCCAAGTAGTGCCCCAACGCGAACGCAGGGCCACCCGTGACCCATCGCGAGCGGATCGCGCCGCGGCCGCGCGCGGCGGGTGGTGTCACGCTCGCACTCGCACTCGCACACGCCGCACACGCCGTCTCCCCCCAAAGCCAAGCGGCGCGCGGCCGCGCGGGGGCCAGCCCAGTAATTTTCCACCAGCCGCCTTCGCCCCTCCACTCCGCATAAACCCTACTAGTGCTACCATGGCTTAACCCAAAAACTAAACCGAGTGCCCCGTGCCCACTGTCACACAATACAGACCAGCCCCCCGTCACCTTCGAGCTCGAGCCAAGCCAAACGATGTCCGTCGCCTCCCCGCACCATCTCCGCCCCTCGCCGCTGGCGCCGGCATGCCGTGCTGGCGGCGTCCCCGCGCGCGCCGCGGCGGCGCACCGGCCATGGTGCCCGCGCGTCCGCCGGGCCGTCGCCGCGGCCTCCTCCGGCGGCGGCGGCGGCGAGGCGGTGACGGCGGTGAGCGCGGCGGCGGTGGGGGCGCCCGCGAGCGCCGCGAGGGACACGTGAGTTATCCAATGCCGTTCTCCGCCTGAATTCGTTCCGTGTGGTGTGTTTGTTGCGGTTGCTTGCTCAACTGATTCAATCAATCGGGGTGGATTGTATTTTTCTTTTGTTTGGGGGGGGGGGGGGAAGGGAATGCAGGGTGCGGCGCCACACGATCTCTGTGTTCGTCGGCGACGAGAGCGGGATGATAAACCGGATCGCCGGGGTGTTCGCCAGGAGAGGGTACAACATCGAGTCGCTCGCCGTGGGGCTCAACAAGGACAAGGCCATGTTCACCATTGTCGTCTCCGGCACGGACAGGGTGCTCAACCAAGTCATCGAGCAGCTCAACAAGCTTGTCAACGTCTTGAATGTGAGCCCCCTTGCTCCAAAATTTGTTGGGGTCATGTGAATTTGATGCTTAAACCAATTTAGTTTGCCATTTATAGATCTGATAAGCTTCCGGCCCTCAGTAAGATTCTTTGACAGCGATTGGTGTCAGCAGAGTGAAGATACCAATGTTGAATATTGTTCTATAAAGAGCGGAATTTCTACAGTATCAACTCTGTTTATATTTTATAACGTGCCTTGCTCTTGAGCATCTTTTGTAGCTAGAAATACCAAGGGCAGAAACCTTTTATCCTAATCTGGTCAAAACATTAGCCCTCTTTATTGAAAATCTTCTAAGAGTAAGAATAAATAACTCTTTTCCGTGAGTATCTCGCTAACTATATTGAATGTCAAACTTGCATTTTATCACGTACAGACATATTCTGGTCAATGTAATGTGCTCTATTTCTCTTGTCTGCACAATTTATGCAATAAAGTCCGGGAGCAGAAAAATTAAAATTCAATGTTTTCATTTGTAACCAAATAACCAGGTTTTCTATTATAACCTAAGTATTCCTGAGTATCTTGGGCTTTTCGTTGAGTACTTGAGTTATAGCACAGTAAATGCTACTGTAGCATCTGATAAGTATAAATATGTGGATACTGCCATGTGACCTTGTTTAAAATAGTTGCATTGCATTTCAATTATTGAAAATGTTCATTGCTTTCCCTTATCTATCACATAGTCTCTCTCTCCCGTGTTCACACGAAACATCGCACTAACCATTCCTCACCTATGTACAAGGTAGTTAAGTCTGGAACGCTGGATAGCATGGTCATTTTAACCTCTCTTTCTCTTGATTTTATACTCTCCTTAATTCTTGTGCCGGCTAAAAATTGCAGGTGGAAGATCTATCTAAGGAGCCACAGGTTGAAAGAGAGCTGATGCTTATAAAAATTAATGTTGAACCAGATCAGCGTCCTGAGGTAACATGTGCTGTTGACTTGCTATTTGCATAGTGTAAAAACTTTGTGTAGTGAATTAAGCAACAGGCATGTTGGAACTCACTCGTACTGCACAAAATCTTGTTATGATTGTCAGGTCATGGTTTTAGTTGATATTTTCCGAGCGAAAGTTGTTGATATTTCGGAGAACACCCTTACCATCGAGGTAAAGACTCCTGATTCCAACAGGTTTACATACATATGATTGTAGGAATTCCTTTGATGTGTATTTGATCAAGTTGTAGGTAACTGGAGATCCTGGCAAAATTGTTGCTGTGCAAAGGAACCTCAGCAAATTTGGGATAAAAGAAATTTGTAGAACGGGAAAAGTATTTTCTTGACCATTTTCTATTTGCATTTATCATGCATGCATACATGTGTTATTCACAGTGCTGACTCTTTTTTCCCCCTCAGATTGCTTTGAGACGTGAAAAAATTGGAGCAACTGCCCGCTTCTGGGGATTTTCTGCTGCTTCTTACCCAGATCTCATAGAGGCATTGCCCAAAAATTCTCTTCTTACTTCTGTAAATAAGACAGTCAATGGAAGTTTTGATCAACCATCCAATGCTGGGGTATGTTTCTTGTACTTTAAATAGAAAAAAAATCTCATGAGTCCTTCATCTAGTTCTATTTTATTTTTACATAATTTGAATAATTAGCTGGTTATGTTGAGAGTGCATTTTACTCGGTACGAAAACAAATGCAGTTGAACCTAGATGTTAGCCAGTATTGGTTCCAGAACAATGTAATGCTATAAGCGATAATAACTTAGTGCATAAACACAATTAGTATGCTATAAAGGTGCCATATCTCTGAACTTATTCCATATTTCTATTTAAATATTTACCTTCAGTCCTGTGAGGTGAGTTCACTGAAGACAACATATTCTTTGGTGGTGAAAAGCACACTGTGGAGTAGAATTACAGGTGGCGTTCATGTTGGGGTTACTGAAATGCATATTCACTAGTACCTTATGTCATTGGATGAGACCTGATGATACATAAGCAGGCACCCCCACACTAACGTTGTTCAACTTTTGGTATAGCATCTGTGCATTAGTCATAGCATAAGTTATATGCTAATATATTTGATGGCCAGAAATGAGTAACATAACAAGTCGTATATGCCTGTCTATTGCAATATGTTACTGATTCCTGTAACATTTAGTCACTTTTACTATTTAATTGTTCAGGGCGATGTCTATCCTGTGGAACCTTATGAGGGTTCATCCATGAACCAAGTACTTGATGCTCACTGGGGCGTCCTTGATGATGAAGATGTAAGTTTCAATATTATCAGTTTAGATAAAAGCATTATTCAGTCAGTGTTAAGTTCCATATGAACCTTGGCAACTATATCCAAACTTTATTTGAGACAAAAAAAACTATGTCTAACTTATGTTGTATGTATTCAAAACCGAATCTAGTTCCAATGTGACTACACTGAGTTCACATTTTCCATCTTCACAATCAGCAACCAGTCATATATATATATATATATATATATATATATATATATATATATATATATATATATATATATATATATATATATATATATATATAAATGTCTCTGTAGCTCTAAGCTGTTCAGTGTTAAATATACATGTTAATGTATACAAAATTAAGGATGCAGGTCCTAAGCTAAATATGATTTTATTTGGTGCAGTCAAGTGGACTTCGATCACATACTCTATCCATCCTTGTCAATGATTGCCCTGGTGTTCTCAACATTGTTACAGGGGTCTTTGCTCGCAGAGGCTACAATATACAGGTTTTCTTTTTTTCGAATAGTTATTACCTCGCCGTCATGCCTGATTAGTTGTTAACAAGACCATACTACTGGTCAGAGTCTTGCTGTAGGCCCAGCTGAAAAGTCAGGCCTTTCGCGTATTACAACAGTTGCTCCTGGAACAGATGAATCCATTGAGAAGTTAGTTCAGCAGCTTAACAAACTTGTTGATGTGCATGAGGTAAATCATATGCAGTTTTCAAGAGCAGTCAATTGTGGTAGTAAAGTCGCATTAATTCAAAAAATATGATTTGTGCAGGTTCAAGATATAACTCACTTGCCTTTTGCTGAAAGAGAACTTATGCTTATCAAGGTTTCTGTGAACACTGCTGCTCGGAGAGACATACTAGATATTGCTGAAATCTTCCGGGCAAAATCTGTTGATGTTTCTGATCACACTGTTACGTTACAGGTAATTTTAATTTTATGGCTAATGTTGCTTGTGATTGTTAAACTTTTCTTTATTAGCTTAATCAGCTTCATTTACGAAGAACACCGATCTATGTACAAATAACAAAGTGCCAGCATATAATTTTACCCGCAGCATTGTTATAGGAATTCTAGTGTTTTGTCCTAATAAGTTGTGTTGTGCTTTACTGTTTAGCAGCACAGAGCCTGCAGAAACACTGAATGTTTAGCTGAACCACAACTGTCATTTACTCATTTAATGCCCATTCAAATTATTGTGGGACTTCTGCATACTTGATAACTTGCCGCGATTGTGCAGCTTACTGGGGATCTCGACAAGATGGTTGCATTACAAAGGCTGTTGGAGCCTTATGGCATCTGTGAGGTATATTGAATTCTTTTTGTACTTTTCTTTCACCTCATCCGTTTGTTGCTCATGTGGTTATGTGATGTGAAATGATGTCAACAGATTATCTGCGCAAATACTGTTACCGTATTAACACACATTGTCTCAAAAACTCATTCTCCACACGTAATGGATACTTTTGCCGAAGTGAACACATGCTTTTGACTACCAAAATAATTTTAAATCATTTGCCAACATCTGCTTTATGTCTTTAAATATGATATGCTAGGTTGCTAGCCGTCTCCTTTCTATCTGGGACAATGGATCCGTATGCTTTCGCACCCATGCTCGCGGCGTTTACTTTCCTCACTATTTTTTAGATAATGGATAGAAATCCGATCTCTATATCCACATGTAATATACCCAGCTTTCCTCGCTAATGCATATTCCGTCCATGACCACAGGTCGCCAGAACAGGGCGAGTGGCGCTGGTCCGCGAATCCGGTGTCGATTCCAAGTACCTTCGTGGCTACTCCTTTCCGTTGTAATCCCAGGTCTTGTGAGAAGAAAGGACAGTAATAAAATGCTTGGTCGGTTGGTTGCTACCTGTTACAGCAGAGTGTTGTAGTAGAGTGTTGTAGTCAGATTCCGTTCGTTCAGTTATGTTGTTTGTTATGATGCTGTTCTTTTGTTGTTGTTTACCTTCCTCTCTGTAATGTGCCAATCCGCTGGCTTCTTGTCCAGTAAAGATCATGATGCAAGAGTTGAGCCTATGTTTTCTACTGACAGGCAAACCAAACGTGCACTCAGCCACTTACCATGTTCTGGAATAAAAATTGAATCCAGCGCTTTGCACCGTGTAAAATGTTCGTAATATACCATAGAAAAATGTTTTAAAAATCATATTAATTTATTTTACAGGTTTTTTTAAACTAATACTCCACCTAATTAATCATGCTCTAATGGGCCGATAGCCTTGTGTACTACTGGGCCTGCAGGTCCAACAAGGCTGTCGGCCCAGTGGCCCACGGCGATGAGATGGGAAGCGGGGAATAGGGAGAAGGGAAGAAGAATCCGGATTCTGTTGCGGTGGTTGTTGGAAGTTTGGAGCTCTCGGGTCGGGATCGATCGATTGATCGGAGAGGAAGGGGAAGAACTCCGGAGGGGGAGGAGGAGGAGGAGCACCGATGACGCGGGGGAAGCAGAAGATCGATGCGCAGCGGCGGAACGCGGAGAAGAACCAGAAGTCGAAGGGGTCCCAGCTCGAGGCCCGCGCCGTCGGCCTCAAGGTCATCTGCCCCATCTGCAAGGTGACGAATGAATCCGTCTCCTCTTCCCTTCCTGCTTGCTAATCCAACCAGTAGCTTGTAGCCTGCCGTATTCGGTATTCCCTCCCCAGCCCTAAGGCTAGACCGCTAGATTGGATGGATTCATGGAGGATTCGAGGGGATGGCTGGATCTTTAGCTTCTTGTTATCGTCTCATCCACGATCCACCCAGCCCTATGCTCCTATCCCATGCGATCTGAAAATCTCGAGCCGAGTGATCGATTTTGTCCGTCTTCGTCTATAGTCCCCGGATGCACCCCAATTACGGGGTAAGGAGAGACAGGGAGTTGATGTGGAAATTTCATAGGGGATAATTTTCTATTATTGTAATTGTTCTAACTTCGTCTCTCTAAGCACTGCATCTAGCCTGCCTGCCAAGGGTGGAACTAGTATGATTACATTACCCTAGTGATGTTCTTTTGGGAGATATTGCTGCTGTTATATTGTTTGTCCATTACCATTTCTATGATAATCACCGATCAAGGGCGGATCCAGAAACAAAAAGTTGGGGGGACTCAAATACTGAGTACACCGATATAAACACATAATCTCAGTATTAAACTATGCTAAAATGCTATTATGAGACCTTTAGCACCTCCTATCTTATCAACTATATTCCCCTGCACCCACGTTGGATCCGCCCCTGCCTCTGATGAATACTGTGTTATGGTTGAACAATCAGGAAGGGTTGGGGAATATAGTTCTAGGCAAAATTTGTAGTTGGATCAATCATTTATTCTCAGTTTTGGTTATATTATACTGATGAGTGTGTAGTCGAGAGGTAGGTCCAAAGATGAGCATCTTTAAAGGAGAAAATTGCATCTCAGTGTCTGTACTGCAAGTTTTTGGTTGGTGCCTATTAGTACCACATTTTTTCCCCTTTGGGAAAATATCACACTGCTCATATCTTCCATCTGAACTATTTATGTTAAGTTCTGCTAATTGTTAATGTTGTTGTTGTGAATAGTATAAATACCATTATAAAGCCTTCTCTCCAGTGAGTTCTGATTCCAACTGATGAAGCAGCCCCCTTCTGTCCTCCACCACTGGTTGGAGTAACAGTGAAGGCATCATCCTACATCTTTTTTTATCATTGGACAATGCTGTTCCCAATTTGATAAACGGTATAGATGGAAGATTTTAGCAGTCATATTATTTCTTTAAGGTGAAAAAAATTGTAGTATTATTTGGTACCAAGCGAAAACGTGTGGTATAAATACATTTTTCCGTAACTGAATTAGAATCTATTACTGGTCACTGCTTGATCTGACCTACACCATGTTGACTCATTTTTGCATGCGCACGCACATGTGGATGTGGTATCAACTTAATGAAACATCGCTTTTCTTTGTGTAGGTTCAACTGGCCAATGAGAAACAATTGATTGATCACTATGGATCAAAGCATCCCAAGGAAAAACCCCCTAGCCCATCAGAATAATTTGTGTTGGCCCTGATGCAGAAACATAAGTTCTGCTTGCTCTGTCCGCGAGATTGTTCGATCTGCCCCATACTTGGACCTCAACTGAAGTTTTACTCTACAATGTATGCATTTCCTCTTGTTTCTGGCTAGAGCCGTCATAAGCTTGTGCTTTCTATGAGAAGTATATCTTTTGATATCATAATGCCGAATCCCGAATGTATATCCCAACTGCATGTGGTACATTATCGGATAAGAGGGTGTTGAATTGTCAATAAAGCTTATGAAAAGTTTGACAAAAAATGAGCATATATCTGGGCCTCGAACAGTCGAACCTATGGTTCTAAGCCTGGTGCTCCTGTGTAATTTCATCACGTAGATCCAAGGAATATAACAGCTGACTAGCATACTCATTTATCCAAGGAATATAACAGCTGAAGTGTTCATTCTTCAGTAGTACATTGTGGCAATAAACTATCATGTTACATTGCATAAGACAATAACAATCCATGCGATTAATATAACCCCAATTCTCATACATTGTGTACAATCCATCGTAATACTACTAAACTCAGAAAAAAAATACTTCCAACTCAAAGAAATGTTCATTCTTCGGTACTACATTGGCCTCTACTGATGCGGGAACTTGACGGGTGCAGGGGACGCGAAGCCCTTGTGGTACAGAAGCTCGGCCATGACGCTGTACGCGCGCTGCGTCAGGTGGACGCCATCCCAGCTGATCCGCTCCTCGGGCCTCGCGCACACCGCCGTCCCGCCCGCGCCGCACATCCGCTCCATCTCGAAGTTGTACTTGCCGCCGCCCGCGCCGCAGCACGCGTTGGTCAGCGCCGTGCCGTCGAACCCCATCTCGCGCGCGCGCTCCAGCATCCGCACGTACGCGCCGAAGTAGTCGGCGTACGCGACCGTGGCCTCCGGGTACGACCGCCTCAGCTCCCGGATCCCCTGCTGCAGCAGCACGTTGTGCATCTGCGCGAACAGGTTGAGACCCACGAGGCACCCGTTCCCGTCGTACGCCGCGCGCTCCGTCTCGTCCACCGCCGCCAGGTAGCTCGGCGCGCAACCCAGCGGGAAGTTGCCCGGGATCACCACCCGCGTCGCGCCCATCTCGAGCACCTCCCTCGCCGCGCCCACCACGGACCGCACCACCTCCGGGACGAGCACCACCGACTCCACCACGCCGGTCACCATGCGCCCGACGTCCGCGGCGCTGCGCCCTCCCGGCCGCGGCCGGTTCGCGGCGAAGGCGTAGTTGTAGTCGTTCCCGCCGATCTCGCCCACCATCACCAGCGAGCTCGCCAGCTTGTCGCGCACCTCGGCGGGCGACTTGGTGGTGGCGCTCATGAAGTCCCTGAACCACTGGAGCTGGACGCTCAGGGAGCTGTTGGTGTGCGGCGCGGCGACGCCGATCCTCGCGAGGGCCGCCGCGTCGAGGGCGGTGGCGCCGGTGACGGCGAAGTTGACACCGTGGGTGAAGTCGGCGCCCTTGTCGAGGTACGGGTTGAGCAGCGGCAGCCCGAGGTCCTTGGCGAGGTAGTCGATCATGAGGTACCCGTCGGAGCACCGCCCCGTGGCGCCGCCGATGGCCGCGCCGTAGGGAGGCGCCACGGTGTGCTCCATCATGGCGCCGGCGGCCGCTCCTTCTCGGAGGTAGTTGCCGGTGTCCGAGATGGAGTCCCCGAAGTTGTAGATGGCCGTGATGCCGTCCACCACTCCCGATGACGACGACGACGCTGCCTTTCCCGGAGCCGGCCTTGCCTGGCATGTGCCGACGAGGAGCACCACCAAGAACGCGACGAGGAGTGGATGAACCCTACTCGCCATGGCGCTCTAGGTGCAAGTGCGCGCTGTACGTACGTGTTGGCTAGCGATGCGACGCAGCTGTTGGTGTTTGTGGATAGTCCGTGGCATCGCGCGCGTCCCTCTATGGCTCTATTTATGCCGTAGGCTGTCCGATTTCGATGTCGACTCGGAGCATCGGAGCAGGACATCAACAGAGTATTCGAAAACGGATTCGGAATCGGAGTGAAGATCCGATAGCACTCCGGAAAAGTTAGCCCAGAACTTCGAGTAAAGGGGTGAACAATCTTACATGGAAATCAAATTGCTTATGTGCGGAACGAACGATGGCCGTTATGTACAGCAGGCAGAATTACATGATGAGAATTGGAAAGGCTTCATGGATTTTTTTTTTCAAGCCATCCTACGCAGCTTACAACAAAATGTTGGCCAAATCCCGAGTACCCAATACTGGTATCCCCATACAAATGGAGTATATAATGTAGCATATGCTACAGATCCCATCTTTTCTTCACACGGAACAGGAAGGTGGGATTGCGGAAATTGTCCTGAGGAACTTGAAGCATGAGCTGAAGTTTCGTCTTCATTGGTGCGGTCTTTGCCTTGCCGTCTTCTTGACCCACCTAGCATCCAAGAAAACGAAACTCACGAATTGCTCATAAAAGTACAGTACACTTGAGCCATCAGAAGGCAATATTAGCTTCAATGGACAAATCGTCTAATGATGCAAAGTCAGGTTTTGCATGTTTTAGCCATAAAAACCAGCACTTCAACAAAACTGTCGTAGTTTAAGAAATTGTCAAAACAGCTGTCAAAGGATCCCCCCATGAAAGGCATAAAGATACAGTCTACAGTTTACACAACATTGCTTATATTAATTATTGATCATTAAAAAAACATATATCTGCAACACTAGCGCGCGCACAGCAAGCATAGATGGCTAACAATGGTACAAATGGCCATAAAAAAAGAACTTTGGTATATGTGCATTTTCGGGGTTTCAGATTTAATAAATGGAAAGTTTTGTGTGTTTAAACCTTTCGTCTGGACAAGAAAAAACTTCGAGATTTTGATGAGATCACTAAAAGAACCCTATTTTGTATTCTCTAATTCTCTTGCTCCAATAGTAATGTAAGATATGCAGATATAGCAAAACAAGGAGGCTGTAAATACATACCCAAACTGAAGCCCATCCAACTCGCACCTCAGAATCATAACCAGCTTTCACTTTGAAATCTTTACCAACTGTGCGCTTATAAACAGCATTCCAGTCATCAGTGGTAAAGTCATAACGATAGCTGAAAAGGGGAACCCAACATTAAAAAGACACATTGGGAAAGAAGCTAACTACCAGATGTCAAAGATTATGCATGAAGATGCAAAACCCTTTTGCCTCCTTGGGCATAACTGAAAATATCCTGGTCCAAATTTTAAATTGGCCTTATGCAGTCGATACATCCCAACAACCATATTAAACTGTAATGTTAACACGAATATAAAGGAAATTGAGCAATTGATCAGCCAATGAAAATTTACAATTATTGATTTACCAATGATGCTAAGCAATCACCATATCCTTCAACGCTTTGTGAAGAAAAAAAAATGCCAGACAGATAACTTTGCAGTTGAAGTATGTAAAACTCATGAACACCATTATCATTCATGCAGAATATCTTGCTAACACACAGGAACTTGTAGATATGCTCATAAACATGCTTGGTGGTTGCAAAATCTTGACATGACAAGGTTATCCATAAAATTTATCCGAAAGCCATGCTCAAGCAGGACATCACATAACGAAATCATGCTACAACATGCGGTACACAATTGTAACAAGTCAGATTTCTAAATAGTGCAAGTATTTTCAACTTTAATGAGATAAAATATCCGTACAGATGTAGTCATTGAGGTCAAAACACCTCCAATGTCTGTTATTTTCAGTTCTGAAACTTTCTTGATGTTCTCACTAATGAGTGTATAATTGTCAAGAAAAATTTGTGGAAATTTGCAGCCTACAAAGCATGAATATGTGGTGGCTAAAAATATCAAACCAGAGACAATTAGAGACAAATGACTAATAGATCAATAGGCATGGCAACAATCCCAAATGCTGACCTCAACTTATCAGAAGGACCAAACCGCCTTTTGAAGCCTAAGGATACAGCATTGGAAGGCAGGGACACGCTGGGAATTAAAGTTAGTTCATTGTCCTGCCATAGAGAGCGTATGATTGAAGTCAAATTAAACAAATAGTCTGGAAAACAAACCAAAGTGAAAGATTGTAAAAATCACCTTATAACAATATCTCAGATTAATATCGTTTTCACTGTACTGGGCAGTAAGAATGCCATCCAAGAAATTAGATTTTGCAATTCCATAAAGGGATAACATTTTCTCATCCGCTTCGTTTCTCCTCTCTTCAACTGACACTTGACCAATAGGAAAGTGGAGGGTTGCTCTCGGCTGCGTACAACAATCAGGATTTTATTCTACATGTAACAGGGTTTATATGCCTTATGCTAGTAAAAAAAAAAAACTAAATTAGCATGAATTCTAGTTGCCAAAGATCATATTCTTCTACAAACCCTCAAAATTGAACCTTCAGGATATATGATCCATTGGATGCAGGAGAAATATACATAGAAGAGCCTAAACAACAATACCTACAATATGAAACATGAAATGACTTTTGAAAAGCGGGGCGACTAGTCAGCATTTTTTATAGCATAGAGTTCTGCCTGAGGGATAAAAGTGATCTGTAAGCCCATTCAGAACCAATGGCTAAAGTGCATTATCATCACGATATAAAAAATTATATATATATATATATATATATATATATATATATATATATATATATATATAGTAAATTTGTTTGGTGCTCCATGGTGCCCGGGCACCATTGTTGAAATTGAGTATATACCTAATTCAAATGAGTATGAAACTTTTTCAATTACTTAGATATTAACATTAGCTACTTTACTAACTAGTTCAAAGCAAGTTTGAACTGAATTTGAACTTGTTTTTGTTAGATTTTGATTCTAGGTATATAGCATCCATACATATAATTAGTTAGGTATGTAATCATGGATTGTGAAATAAAGTTAAATTTGAGTTGTTTTGTTGATAGGTATAGGTATGAATCGAGTTATTATAACTAGGTATATACTCACAATTTGAAAATTTTGAAAAATTTGAGTGATTTTGTGTATTTGATACCATGGTGCCCCATATGAGTGTCCTATATATATATATATATATATATATATATATATATATATATATATATATATATATATATATATATATATATATATATATATATATATATATATATTTGTAAGGTATAGCACCGACTGCAAAACTGATACGATTATGACCACTGAACCTTGACAGAACTTTTATCAAACAAACAAACCAAAAAGATCAAATCCATGAAACTTGGTACTCACCAGACCATTGTAAGGCACCAAGGATGATAGCTCAAGTTTATAAGACGGATCACCCAGCCTAGTGATCACTGAGACTTCTCCTTGTCGCTCCTGAAAGTCAACAAAAAGTCCCATTAGAAAGAAAGAAGTATTTAGGTTCCAGTACCACAGCTACATGTGAAAAGCTGATCAATTTTACCGAGAAACTGTCTAAATGAAAAATTGAGAACCCCTTTCTCGCGATTAGTAAATTAACAAAATGCACACATACTATATCATAAGCAACGGAACAGCTGAACAACACTTGATGGGTAAATGCGGGTGACTAAGGATTCAAGCCAGAAAAAGAAGAAGTGTGCCATTTACCTTGACATCGTGTGAGCCGCGGAGCTGGATGGCGCCGCCGGGGAGGGAGCCCTGCCCGCTGAGCAGCGCGTTGCGGGCCTCGACGTCGTACAGCACGGAGAAATTCTTGGCGATGAGCCCGACCACGGGCGCGACGAATAGCTGCCGCCGCGGGTCGCCCTCCTCCCCCAACCCCTGCCCCGACGGGTCGCTCTGGAACGACAGCCGCAGCTTGGCGAGCCCGCCCGCGACCTTGCACGACACCTTGTGCGCGAACATGGCCTCCTCGCTGTCGTACTCCGTGGTCACCCTCAGCCCCGGCCGCCTCCACCGCGGGGACGGCGACACCACCTCCAGCGGGGGAGGCGGCGGCGGCGGCGGAGGAGGAGGGGGCGGCGGGGGCGGTGGGGGCGGGCAGAGGAAGGTGAAGGGGCAGCGGAGGCTGCGGAGCCATGGCGGGAGGTTGAAGGGGTTAGGGTTTTGGGAATTGGAGGAGGAGGAGGAGGTGGTGGTGGTGGTGGCCATGGGGGTGGCGGCGGAGGAAGCGATGCGGAGGGGCGGAGGGAGTGGTGTGGTGGGAAGAATCGAATGGAGGAAGAGGGAAGTGGGAATTTTTTTGGGGGTGGGGTGCGGGAGGCTCTGGAATCCCTGGCTCGGGGTTTTTTCCGTTTACAACCCTGGACTACTGGGTTATTCTGTTATGTATTTCTGTGTCTGTATGTACAGTGTTCTACTACTGCAGTGGTATTATTACTCGACTGAACAGTAAATGTGACTGTCAGTCTGTTAAGTTCAGTGGGGACCCACTCATTACTACATGCAGGAAAGGCTGATGGCTTTTTTAGCCAATATTTTGAACTTGAAAGTAGAATTTGGGTGGTTCCAACTTCTAACAGTGTGAAGTTTAAACAGTGATCCCTTGTTTGGTCGTATGATTTGTCAACTCTTTGGTTGTGCAAAGACCAACCACGTGGACTCTTGTGTCTAGGCAAAATCACTTGAGGATGTGTTCGGCTGTCCTATTTCAACTACGATACAGCCATGTTGTACAGTAATTTGTGTCATTGCAAGCAGCTGTGTGGGTGCATTGCAGCAGTCGAACACACCCTGAGATTGTACTCCCATAGTCCCGTATAAAACAAACTTAGGATACATCATAATATAATGAATCTGAATAGAATGGATCACATCCCGTTCTAGATTTGTATTTTTACTAGTTAGCAACATTGACCTTTTCTCGAAACTTTTTAAATTTTTCTTATGGATAGAAATCAAACTTCTACTTTTTGGATATTTTCTTTAAAAAAAGCATTTTAATTTGCCATAAAGCATGGAAGTTCAAACAACTAAAAACACGTGTTACTTTTTTTAAAGCTCATCTTTCAATAATTCTAGCTTTGCTTGAAACTTTTTTCAACCAGAACTACAATATCGGTTATTTTTCACCCTTGATTTTTAAAACCAAGGAGAAGCATTGACGGTGATTTTGGTTAAGGTGTAGTATGCATGACTCCACCTATTAGAGTTTAAATCATAGGAAACATAAATGTTACTCCCTCCGTCCGATTCGTAGCGCTAGAAAATATTCCATCCGATTCTAAGTTCTTATATTTTAGAACAGATGAAGTGTGCATATAGGGTTGCGCTTTTGATACTCCTTTGTTTCAGGTTATAAGATGTTTTGACTTTGGTCAAAGTCAAACTACTTCAAATTTAACTAAATTTATAGACAAATATAATAATATTTATATTATCAAATTAGTTTTATTAAATTAATAATTAAATATATTTTTATAATAAATTTATTTTTGGTCCAAAATATTACTATTTTTCTATAAATTTGGTCAAATTTAAAACAGTTTGACATCTTATAACGTGAAACGGAGAGAGTAGGTTTTCAGTGAGGCTATTTTTTTAGAAAATAGGACAAACGTGGCCTCTACGTCCGATCGGATGTACACAGCCAATTTTAGGCTATGGATGTGTTGTTGATCTTTGTCTGTGTTAAGGTGGTGCATTCAAGGATATCTAAGTAAGGTAGTGGTGTGCGCGCGCGTATATGCGTCTTCTAAGTAGTTGTAAAAACAAAAACTAAACAAAAAGGATACCTTTGGACATATATTTTTTACTCCGTTTTGTTCGTAAGTAATCTTGGACAAAAGAACACCTTGAATTGGCCGATGTACGAGCCTGCTCTTGGCCAAAGCGTGTAAATTATGAGAGGTTTATGGTATTGACCACACATGTATCAATTTACATTGGAAGCTCCGTTCACATAATCCTTTTCAGGGTGAAAATGTATTGTCGATGAAACAAAAAATGAACACAATGTGCCGCTGTGCTCCTTGCTTTGTCTCGATCAGTCTCCGGGGTTGTGAACTTGTGATACCACAGCGTTATTATTGGCCGAGGGAAAGATTTACCATGTACTAAAACATATCCAGGGCATCGAACGTACTCTTGCTCTACAAAAATCTTGTGTGGAAGATCGCCATTTCTACTGATGACCTGGAACTGATCGTCATACCAGGTACTACTAGTACTCATTTTTCCTGCAATCAGACACGCATAAACACGGAATTGCTGACGATCAGCAACATCAACAGCCGCTGTTCCTTGCAAACCTGTCGTAATTAAGCACACGGAGACGGCGATTTGCAGCGTCGTCTTCAGAGACACACACTGCAAGTCTGCAATGCAAATTCAGAACTACTCCTAACCAGCAAGACGTAGCTAGTTAACGACAGAGCCACGCAAAGAGAACGCGACCGCCTTTGCTTCTTCTTAAGGCGGAGAGGGAAAAAGAAAAACACGAATCTGATAACGAGATCGAGGTCAACGGGAGCAGAGATCGAAGAAGCATACATGACAAAAAGGAACTCCTATTGCAGCCGCACCTCAAATGAACCAGAGAATCGACGAAACCATGCATGCGTCTCACGAACTTGTTTGCTGATGGTCATCTAACCACGCGTGCCCAAGAGCCAATAAGCCGACTGCTGCATCGTCAATTATTCTCCAATCTCCAGGCATGCACGGGTAGCTAGATGACCAGCAACAAAACAGGTTCATGGGTAGCAATAATCTCACCTGCACACCACGACCACCCCTAGTATTCTACTAGTAGCAATTAGCAAGCCCAGAGCATAATCTGGATATATTGTCAATGAGAAGAAACTGGAGCTGGACGCCTGGAAGACTGGAAGATGGGGCGAATGAGATGAAGCTGCTAGTGCTGTATTGAAGCGAAGGATATATTTTGGATCGGGTAGGTGCGTGCACGGAAGGGATGATGGTACGTTGATGCCAGCGAATTAGAGGCATATTCGCGAGGAATAAACCGTCCCCCGCAGAAGCACGACGACATGGAAGCATCAAGTAATTAAGCAGGAGACAGTCAGCAACATGTATGTACGTGCACACTCTGTAGTGACGCTGACGCTGTGCCACTGGCTGACTGTACTGCCTCTTCTGCTAGGTGGAGATGATGAGCGTAGATTTGGATCAACGGTCTTGGTAAATTAGCCGTGACAGGGAGGAGTTGTACCAGCGGACGAACGCGTGGATTTTGCGGTTGTCCAGTCATGAAAAAAAAAGGAATACTCTCTCTTACTCGTAGAGAAAGTCATTTTGGACAGTGACACGGTCTCTAAAATACAACTTTTACTTATTGTTTCTATAAAAAAATATTTATTGAAAGTATTATATGTATACTTTTATGAAAATATTTTTCAAGACAAATCTATTTATATAATTTTTATATTTTCAAACTCAACAATTTGAGAGTTATTTATGATTTATATTTTCAAGGTCTGACTTAAACATTGTCCTAAACAATTTTCTTTACGAGTACGAAGGGGTATTATATATATCCAGATATACTCCTTTCAAAAAAAAAATCCAGATATGAGCGATGATGGGGCAGCAGAGGAAGGGGACTGTTCGGAACGGATGAAACGCTCGCAAAGTTGTGGATAATTTGTAGGCAAAATTGTTCCCCTCTCGGACTGTTCTACCATGTGTACAACCATCCTCGGGGCAGCATCGTGGACTTGTGGTGAGAGAGGCCTGCGGCGCTATCGACGAGGGCCACGTACGACTCCACGTGACCGGCCCACGGGGGGAGTCCTAGGTCTACCGACGCAATGGGCTGCTACCCCCTTGAGATACAGGCGAGAGGCCGAGAGCCAGCCCAACCTGCATGGCCCGCGCGAGTCCCTGACGTCCCCCGCGGCGCGCGGCGCTGGTGTGAGTGTGTGACGCCGTGACGGTGTACGCCGCCGCAACGGATTCCACCCGGCGCAGCGCGCTGCGCAACCAGACCACGCGCGGGCGCCGCACGCCAGAGGCCCAGAGTGCAGACGCCCGCCTGTGCCGATGGGTGGAGTGGAACAGAAGAACCAAAGCTCCGGGAAGTATTTTCTACACGTGTCAGTACCTAGATGGTCCTGTTTGGCACGGCTCCAGCTCTAGCTCCATCTCTCCTGGAGCTGAAGCTCAACCAAACAGTTTCAGTTCTATCTAATATGGGAGCGGAGCTGGGTAGAGCTCTCTCACAAAATGAACTAGAGAGGTGGAGCTGGGTTTAGGCAGCTCCATAACTCTACTCCAGACTCAACTGCTGGAGCTAAATTTAGGAATTGGAGCTCTACCAAACAGGCTCTACATGCAGTTTATAAATAAACAGTTATATAAAAAATTATAAATTTTAATAAGATAGCTTATGATAATATAAGACACTGTACAAACATAAAAGTCTAAATTCGATCAACAAAATAACAGAATTTTTTTTGTCGTACAAGTATTATTCATTACCGATGTTACCAATTATTTTTTATATTTTTATAACTATTCAAGTCACGAGCAAATAACGGGTGTCATGATAGCTGCTGCAGAGAACCCTGTCAACCGAGCTCTGCTCGTCAGCCCGTCCGTCGTGCTGCTGCTTTTGCTGCTCCCTCCATCCTAAAAATACTTAATCTAGAAGAGGATGTGATTTGTCCAGATCGTTATTCAGAGTCCATATCGTGGTTGAGTTTTTTTAAGATGTAGGGAGTACTTGGCAAGGCTAGCAAAGTGATTCGCTATATGTAGTTATGAGCTGATCATTAATTGATTGCATGCTGCTTGCATTAAAAAGGGCGATATGTGAGCATTTCTTTTCCTTCAATCTACGTCAAGGTCACTGCTCGTGCTCGGCATACGCCTCGGAGAGTGGATCGTGGTTAAAGCAGGAATTTAGTATACTACCATCACAAAGTCTAAGCACATGATTTTCGCCAAGACGATATTTGCTATGGGGATAAGAATACGAGAACAATACGCAAAATGACAATATATAACGCAGTAGGAGTTCGTTAACGTCAATAGGCGATGCTGAATATTTTTTAATGTCCAGTGACCAGAATACAGCGGCGCCCCCTGTTTTGCCCTGGTTTGCCATGGCTGCTAGCTGTCACTGCTCAAAAGCAGAGCGGCGGCGACGGCGACCAACAATTTGTGAAGCAATGCCAAGCTAAGTTTCTCTATCATTTAACCACGTACTGTTTCATTAGTCTATGGCACTGGCCACCTGCCTCACAAGTCACAAATTTCAATTTTCAAACGACTATGATACAGGCAAGTTGGCTTTGCTAGCTAGGCAGTATTAAGATGCCAAACCGCCACATAGCTAGCTTACATACACGCAATTAAGGTCAAACATTTTGCTCTCTACTGCTTCCATAGTTCCAAAGACATCTCAGGAACCAACACTGTTTGCTCAAGGTGACTGTTCAGTTTCCTATGTTTGCCGTTCCAGTTCTTGTACATACAATGCTTTAGATGTCTCCTAGTTCATGCATACTCTTCTTTCTGCAATATGTACCAGAGATTTATCAGTTTCTTTTTTTTTCTCGCAAAACTGAACTGGAGTAGGGAAAAAACCGAATCTTTAACATTTGATCACATTTTTTTTTTTGCAGGGCTAGCTAGCTGCTGGTGATCACACAGCATGGCGACCAAGTACATCATCGGATCAGTGGCTGCATCCTTCGCATTCGCCTATGTCTGCGAGATCTACATCGCGGAAGGAAAGCTTCTTGGAGGTGAGCTAGCTTAATTATCTTCTCTGACCACCGAGATCTCCTTAGCTAAGCTGCCTAGCTAGCTTAAGTACGTAGCTTGCAGTTTATGTGCTCTTTCTCTTGTGTTAGTGTTTATTAGTTTGTGTTTACTTCAGTTTATTTGTGTTTTATGACTTGTTGAGGTGTGCTCGTGATTGAGTGAATTGGTGTAATAATTGACTGTAACTCGTTAAGTAAAGGCCGATATTCTATTCCATTATCTAAACAAAGTAGCTTGCAGGTCATCAGCATCTGACCACTGCTTGCTTGCACATGTGTTTCTTGGCAAAACTAGGCACGACGACTCGGACCATGGCGACTGACGAGTGGGGGAAGGAGACGGACAAGAAGTTCCAGGCGTGGCCGCGGACGGCCGGGCCGCCGGTGGTGATGAACCCCGTCAGGCGCCAGAACTTCATCGTCAAGTCGTCTGAATAAATCTTCTTCATCAGCCCTCCCTAGCATTCTCTCGGGGAAGAAAGAAAGCCAATATTGTTGCGCGCGTGTGCTGATTAAGCCCGTGCACAATTCACCTCCTGTTTCAGACTTTCAGTTAAAGCAAACTAGCATGTATTTTTGCTGTAATTTTTGTGTTAATTCCCGGTGAGAAATCAGCTCGAACCGCACGGTTAAATGCTATAGCATCGCGACGATCCTCGCAGTTTGTTTCTGATAATATTTAGTGTTCTTCAGGGACGAAAATGATACTCCGTAGAATAGTAACCTCGAACAATTTGTAGTATTTATGTTCGAAACAGATTTAGAATTTGTTTTGTTTGAAGTTGCAAACATAATATTCAGAGAGCCGCATCAAAATTCCATAAATTAAATTCAGTATACCCGGCACACTTTGTCGTTCCTTGGTGCAATTTGAAAACAAGGGGTTTGGAGCATCGGTTGCTATAGGCCTATAGCCTTGCCGGCGAAAATAAGATGACTAATTACTCAATGATTTGTACTCAAATGATCGACCAGGAATTGAAGGTAGCAATGTAGCATTCATATTGCAAAATCTGTAGTACATTATATTGAATTGTTTCTTACAAAGAATACATATAGCCAGAAGGGCTGCCTATTTCCAGTTAGTAAAGTAGGGGAGTGTTAACCTATATTGAATCTGGAAATAGGAAGAAAACCTCATGTGCTTAAAAAAAATATAGGCCTCATTTAGAATGTAACTTGCCTACGTTTCTCTTAACACCATGAATGTGTTTTTATTGGAAAAGTTATAGTCGAGGCAACTTAGAATTAAGCATCGGAGCATGTATTTTTATGGTATAAGCTTTCAGAAGGTGTTCTTGCATACATGAAAAGAAGAAAAGGAAAGAAAAAACATTGAACTAATTGTAAGTGTAGAAGTTGTGTTGCATTACCTATTTACCTTTACTATGTTGAAAGTGTAACAAAATATGTGCATCTAATATATGAATGTGTGAAACTTGACACTATCAATGAATTCTCAAGTGTTGAAATCCAGGAGATTTGTATGGTAGACCTATCGGATCCACCAATCAGATATACTCCATCTAACACCCATAAATACAATTGAAAATACACGTCAACATTAATGCATGAAAAATCATAAATGCAATGAGTGTCTAAGATCCTACCGTGCCTCTCTCTATATAAACTCCTCTAACATATACAATAGAGTCCATATCGAAGTAATATTCTTCTAATATGTCCAATTGTCCACCATGAATAGAAGGATGGGTTACTCATAGGCTGTTGTTTTCATGTCTTCCACCTTGCCATCTGCTCTCTAAGACGTTAACTTTCACTAAACTGCAATTTTAACTTTTTGTTTATTAACCTTTGTTTGATATGTGTTCAATAATCTATTTCAGTTTTGGATCATTTTTCGAATTTGACAAAATTACATGCTACAAAGTTGAGTTCTACTAAGGGAATATGTATAAGCTTACATGCACATCCTGTGGTTTCCCTCGCTCTCCGTACTACTGCAGGACTAAACCAAATGGTTCATCACAATGTTGTTGTGAACGATACTTCTTCGGTGATATCAGAATGACATTAGAAGCGATCAATTGGTGGCCTTCTTGCTTGGTCAATATTGAAAAAAAAAATGATGTTCAGGATTGAATGTAATAGTCTAATACTATTAGATTCCATGAATGTGTACAACAATATAATAATCAATAAATTCTCAAATCTTGAAATCTACAATAAATGCAAATAGGGATATGTACAATAAATCTAACCATCTAGGAATCCTCCAAAACCATATACTTTGTGCTATCTAACACAATTAATGCAACTGCAAATATATATCAACATCAATGCAGGGAAAAACATAAATACATTGAATGCCTAAGGTCTATTGTGCCTCTATACAAACTCCTGCAAAGCTCTAACATATAAAGTAGATAAGATTGTGTTATAAATCATCTAATATGGCCATGAGAAGGATGGGGAACCCATTGACTGCTGTTTTCTTGGCTGTTATGGTCATGTCCTCCACCCTACCATCTTGCTATGCAGGTACTAGGGATATATGCTCTCTAAGACTTTTTAACTTTCACATCACTACACTTTAACTTTTCATGTATTAATCTTTGTTTCGATGTGTGTTCAATAATCAAATGTTGGCTTTGAATCATTTCATCGTGAAACGTGAAGCCGATGAAGGGACGTGCTACGATGTCATGTTCTGCCGGGGTGATGTGTGCAAGCTTAGATGCAGATACCTTGGTTACCCTGACAATGCTCCGTGCTACTGCAAGAGTAAACCGGATGGTTCGGCACAATGCTGCTGCGAACGATCATCACTCTGATATCGGAATGGAACCAGTGATTAATGGTGGCTTTCTTGTTTGGTCAATGCTATATATGATTCATGATTAATGTAGAAGCCATTGATCCCTACTTGCTCTTGCATATGTAAATTGGCGATCGAACAAGTATTTTCAGGTCTCATGCATACTCAATAAACTTGGATTTGCTATTTGTTACTACTTCACTGAAATTTCTAAACATTTGTTTTCATTTGGAGAATTTGTGATTGATTACTACTAGTTCCTCGCTTCATGCTCCTTCAATTGCACCAAGAGGATCCGTAGAACATATGAATAGAATAATCTGTAGAAGCAGAACAAGAGCTTATCTGTAATTGTCCATATGTGATACGTATATTTCGATTTTATTGTTGATTCGTCGACATTGAATTTGGTTTTTCAGACTTGTGTAAATCGATGAATATTCTCTTAAAAAAACACAAGCTGGATGTATTTGGTGATGATGATTTATCATTTGAGTTGTACATTATGTTCAAGCGTAAATTGCGAGGTTTGTAACTCTGCCATGTTTAAGAAGATTAAGATTAAGATTCTGAGAAACCAGTTTATAAGAATATAGAAAATATTTGGAATAGCTTATGACTGCTGAAGATTCTAAATAGTTAGAACTAAGAGTATCTCCAAGAGATTATCTATTTAGCTCTCTAAGTTAAAATTTAGCCAACATAGAAAAAAAAGGAGCTCCAACAAACTTTCCAAATAGACAAATTGCTCCTATGACTAGCCAAATGTAGCCAGCCAAATGTAGCCAGCCTCTTCCGGCTGGCCAAAGATGGGTCCCACCACCACTCCCAGCCCCATCCTTCCTCTCTCTCCTGTCCACCCACCACTGGTCCATAGGAGCGCCATCGGCGAGCGAACGAGGAAAGCACGAGGCGGCGGCGGCGGCGGGGACGAACCGAGGGCGCCGTCGACGAGCGACGTCTGGTCCACAGTCCGCTGCAGCAGGCATCATCGTCGCCGCCGCGGGGAGCCGTCGCCATCTGCATCGCTGCTGCCGCGCGAGGAGCCGTCACCGCCGCCGCCTCGCGCGCGTGAGGAGCCCCCTCCGCTGCCGCCTCCCACCTCACGCGCTGGGAGCCGTAGCCGCCGCCGTCACCGCCGCCATCGCCTCCCGCCTCGCGCGCGTGGGGAGACGTCGTCGCCGCCGCCTTCGTCCCGATTTGGCTGGCGCCTTCGTCCTGATTCACGCGCGGGGGCCACATCCGCGGCCCTCCGCACCGTCGCCGGCCTCGACCTCGGCCCTCCGCGCCGTTGTCGGCCGCGACCGCCGCCCTCCGCGCCGTCGCCGGCCGCGACTGCCGCCGTCCTCCGCGCCCGGGGTCGTCGTCGTCGCGAGCCTCCGCCGCCCCCGCTGCCAGCCTATGCACAGTCAACCTCCATGCCCGCATCGGGATAGGATTGGTATGGGAGAAGAAAGGAGAGGAAGGAGGAGGAACGAGAGACTGACATGTGGGACCCGATGTTAAATTGGAGAATGTGAATAGAGAGACTGTTGGAGTAAAATGCAAACTTGGCTCTCCAATTCTTTAGATGGCTGGCCAAATGCTCATTTGGAGAGCTTAAAAATAGCCAATCTGTTGGAGATGTTCTAACTGACAACTGACAGCAAGTCAACAACTCCTCCAACCAAAGATTCTGGGATATTCTCTATGGCCCCTATTCTTTTCTCCAACAAAAGTTGGAAAAAATTTTGGATACTCGTGGCACGCTTTTCAAATTGTTAACGATGCGTTTCATGCGAAAACTTTATATATGAAAGTTACTTTAAAATATCATATTATTTTATTTTTTAAGTTTGTAATAATTAAAACTTAATTTATCATATGTTAATATCACCTCATTTTGCGTAAAAAATTTAATGAGGATTGAGGAGAAAAGAACCATATGTACCAAAACCAAGATGAATTTGGGCACATCGATGTGATGGGCCTGTTTACCTTTGGATTGGGGATGAGATGAGCAAATCCGGCCTGGCCCATATTCCCTTGTGGGCTCGTGCAATGTTGGGCCCTTACGGCCTGCCTATGCGGGCAAAAAAACCTATCCTTCCTCTACCACATCTAGTAATTTCCACTGACATGTGGGGTCCACACGACGGCCTGTTCCCACGAGCCCACCTGTCAGGGGCGGTAGTTTCCACACCAAGAGACATTACCGCGTTCAGTGCGCAAAGCACTGCCACTTTGCACACTGACAGGATGGGCCCACTAGCAGCCACACCCACCAATTTCCTCCTCCCTTCTTCCTCCTTCCTCCTTCCGCTCTTCTTCTCTCTCTTCTCTGCATCTCTCTCTCGTCGGGAGGAGAAAGGAAGGAAGAGGGTGGCAGGAGGAGGAGGAGGCCCCCCCCATCCTTCCTCCCTCCCCTGCGCTGAGCTGCGATGGCGGACGGCAACCCGGACGGCATCAAGAGATACACCCCTCCCGTGCACAGGTCCGCCTCGTTTTGTTCCTTCTTCAATCCTTAGCGTTTACGTGAGCTGGGGGGACTCGTAGGCGATGAGAGGTGTGGCGTTTCTTGGTTGGAATCTGGGGGGTGGCCGTAGTGAAGAATCGCATTGGGAGAGCGAGTTAGGAGGAGGGGCGGGTTGCTTTGCTTGAATCTTTTGTGGGTGAGCTGATTTGGTTGGGGGGCGTTTCTTTCTGATTTGGGAGGCTTTTGTCGAGGAGCTTGTTCGATTGGATATTTCGATTTGGGTCTTTTCTGAGCGTATTTTTTTACTGGGTATCATGCTTCGAGGCTTGGGGGCATTTCTGTGCTGATGTGGTCGGGATCATTGGAAGCTTGGTGTGTTGCCGTTTTGCTTAGATTTGGGCGGTATATTAGATTTTTTGAGCTGCTTTGATGGGCTTGATCTGTGGTGCCACGTACAAATCTGTGTCCAGTGTAAATCGAATATCGTTTTCTTTTATTTGGTGTTCTATTGGACGTTGGCTTTTTGTGTTTGCTCATAAAGAACGTGTGGGTTTTAGTACATATATCTTTTTGTCGCTTGCAAGCTGCCGTTTTTAAGTTTTGTGGTGGTTTATTGGCTCGCTGGTCTCTCTTTTTAGCTTTTTTGAGAATGAACAACCTTAGCAACTAACTTTTATCCTTAAAAGAATTTTTTTAGAAAAATCTTTGTTCAAGCTACATGGCTAATCTAATGGCTTATTTCAGGGCATGTTTAATGCTGACCTAACTACCTGTTTTAGCAAGTGAAGGATGACCCATGATTGGAATTTGGGTTAGCGAATTAAGCTAACATGGCTTAGCAAAACTCTGCCAAACAGTCGGTCAGCTTGTATAAGTTAACGCATGACTTTAACACAACGCATATAATGACTAGCATAAAGACTATCATACTTTAGTTACATGTACTGCCAGATATTGAAAATTGTCCTTTGATAGGTGATCGCGTAATCACAATTTCACAATTATAAGTGGAGTTCACAATGAAGAAGTAGATTTGCTAAAGACATATTGTTCAATCAGTCTATCACCTTGTTGATTTGATTAGTTGATAACTTGATATGGCTTCTTTGTTCCATCTTTGTATTTATGAGCTAAATATTTATTTTGTTTGAAACCATCAGTTATTTCTTGAAATATTCTGTTGTCTGCAGTCTAATGTTAGTTATTATTTAGTTTTAATAATCTTGCTACATATCATGCATAGATATGCTTTCTGATGGCTATCTTTACTGAATATGCTTCAGGAACCGTGCTAACAATCGACGCAAGTCTGGAGGTAAATCACATTTACCAATTGAATCAGTTGGATTTCATGATGTTTTGGGGATTTATTATATTTTCCTTTATTATTTGTTTGGCTTGACTGCTATATAAGGTCTCCAAATTAGTTGATAAGGTCTTATCTAGTTGTTGGTTGTTATGGTATCAAACTTAATTCATTATTCCTCTAGTAGATTTCTATGCAGTGAAACTGCCATGTTTCTTTTCCACAAATGGGCTGAAAAATATGTGCCTTACACCGACCATGTTGATAACCACTCTATATCTATAAGGAAATCCTTGCAAGCAAATATCCTTGTATGAGCCCCCCTACTCCATTGTATTAATGATGCCAATACTCTGTACAACATGCAACTTCATGCATCTAATGCAAGCTACCTGCAATCATAATCCCTACAATCAGTCATTTACAAGTCAAATGTGTTTTTTACTCAGAGTTTACTTATTATGTCCAATAGCTGTCCAGAATCTTCTAACCTTGACATGTCTTTATTTGATTATGCATATTTCCAATAATTTTTTTATGGGCTATCTTTTCCTTATCCATGTGTTTTTTTTAATGATTTATCTGTATGTTTAAGCATAACAATTTAATTTATGAGGTGATTTTTTTTTGGCTGACATTGTAACACTTTTGTTATACCAAACAGATAGGGCTGAGAAGGCTAGTTATTTGTACAATAATGATGGAGAGAAGAGCCATGCTCCTTCATTAAAGAACCTTCCACCAATTATCCCTCATGAGACTTTTTTCAGCAATCCTCAGAATGATTACAGTCAAACAAGATTAATACCCTTGGAGGGATGTTGTGCCAGTGAGGCTGCCCAGCTTCTCAATGACCGTATGTTTCTCAGAGAGACCAAGCTTCCCTTTTAACTGCTTGTAGAATTTCTATGATATAAGTTCTATCTTTTTGACTTTCTGGGAATTGTTGCATGTTATTGTGGTAGTGATACATTATGTCTACAGTAATAACATACTACTCCCTTTGTCCCAAAATATAAGCATTTTTTAGCATAGTGCTAAGTCAACCATTTTTAACTTTAACTATTAATAGCAAAAAAATAAAAAAAAATCAATAATGTGAAATTGATGTTACTAGATTTATCATTAATCAAACTATTATTATATGCAACTCTTTTTATTTAAAACATTTTATTTCTATAGATATTGTTGGTCAAAGTAGCATCTCGAAGACTATGTCGTGATCCAAAAATGCTTATATTTTGGGACGGAGGGAGTAAGTAGTAAAAGCACATGCAGTATATTACAGAACCGCCCATTGCTTTAATAAGTTTACACTGGCTGATAATCCAATATTCAGATACTGTAAGTTGTAAAGAAAAATACGTGGAGCACCTGTTGTGATTTATTTTGGGGTTCTCTGCATGTTAGTAGCATGGAAGAATATTCAAACTGTGTACCTACTGCTTATCCTATCTTTTTTGTTCATTAATCATACCATCAACTGTTCTCTTTATGTGCAATTGTGCATATGCCACCAGTAATTTACCGGAAGTTAGGCAACTTTTAATCAAGGATGGTCTAAGCATATATAACAAATATGTATTCCTACAGTTGCTGTACTAATTTTGAACCAACTTTATTTACAACCATTCTTCTTATGTGATAATAAACCTTTGCTGCTTTTCCCCTGTAGGTTGGGCTGCAGCAATGAACTTGTACAATGATCAGTCATATGATTCCCCTGGTGAGTCCTTAATCAAATTCAGGCCGCATGATGGGAGATTTACTATGTCATGAATCATGGTAGAGGAATCTTTAGATATTTTAGGATCAATTTCTACAAGACCTGGCATACTATCCTAGACCTATGTTTAATTTAGATTACCGTTTCATAAGTTATGATAGAAATTGGAGGTGAATATAAAGTGTTGGCAACAGTAGTGACGCCGCACAATTATGGTGATAGCAATTATAGTACTGTATAGCAATTCGTGATGTTAATATGTTATTATGAACACCATCAAGTACCCAATTGTGCACTCAAGTGAATTTTCATGTCAGTTGTACCAACGGGAAGCACTAAACCAAAGCCCATTAAATGCTGTTGATGTTTTGCCAGATAAGCCGGTGATGTACTCTGGATCTAGTGGATCATCATGGGGTCATGGTCACATGAAACTTCCTCATCAGGTATATTGAACCTGCGATTTTGTCATACTGTTCTCCTACGTCTTAGTTTCTGTACTCTGATTCCTTTTCTGTGGTCATTGGTAGTACAGATGAACTTCTCTGAGGAGTTGCGCCGTGCCCTAGATGAGCAACCAGTCACAGGACCGTCTGTCAACACCTGGAACTAATCAAGCTCAAGCTGCATTGGAGTGCTAAGATTTACAAAAAAGCAATCTATTGCCAGTTCGCTGTGTGTTGTATCTTGTACTGAAACTGTATGCATGATGCGACTATAAATGCTTTACTCTAACTTGCAACTCCTTTGGTTTATAACAGAAACGGCAATCCTGCCCATTTGTAACCTTATGGATGGAAAGCCAGCCTGCTGTATCATGTGGAGTACTTTAGCATGCAGAAGTGCAGAACCAATGCTATATATATATCCCTCTTCTTAAGGGTGAACTTTTGCAGTTTTGTCAGATTTGTTGCTTCGAAAGCATTTTTTTGAGTAACCTTATTTATTTAAGTGAAGAATGCAATTTGATGTAACATGACAAAAGGCTCGAATATTGGCTTAAGTGAACAGATGTATGATAAATACACAAGACACATCTATTCATCACTGAATTTTGTGGAGCAGCATCTCCAAACAGTCATTGCAGAGAACAGTAAATAAGTAGCACAGCAAAATGGATCAGCTATTAGTGAGGATGAAAAATGTCGGTTTTAGGCAAATTAACATCCACCTGTTGTCCGCTTGAATGATGTTTAAAGTAAACAGAGAGGCCATGCATCTGAATCTACAAGAAACGAGATTTTCGTCGATAATACAGGTTTGTGACTTTGTATAACTACACAAAAGAGAATGGTGGACTTAAGAGCCTGCATAAATTTGACAACGTTTGACAACGGGTGCCGGTGGGCCCGGTCGGGCGCGAGACGGAGACGAGTAGCACGATTAGCTTCGCCGCGGCTGAGGGGAATTAGTTCACTTGGTCTGGTCTGAAATTCATCTATAAACCGAAATATCAGATACAAAGAAAAAATGGTTCTATAGCATTGAAAATTCATGATTTGAGTTTTATATTAAAAGTTTTGGGTTCACTTTAATAGCATTGAAATTTACATTCGTTTTAATTTTTAGCACTCTGTCAGGAATTCAGTCAAGTTTCATACTTATTTTATTTTTTTTGTCAAAGAAAACATGCAAAATACCGATAATGTCCTTCTATTCTTTAGCCTTTCCGTTCTCCCATCTTGCGCTCATCCTAGACTTCGGCCGCCGTCCTAGAGCCCATCCGCCCCAGCAGCCCTCAATCTTGCCCATGCCAACACCCTCGAGGCCGACACTCGCCTGCGGCCGCCGCCCTCGAGAATGCCCAGGCCGGCGCTTTCGAGCAGCGGAGCTCGATCGCCATAGGCTGCCATGGCGATGCTCGTGTCTGGGCTCGCCATGCTCATGATAACACGTCACCATGGCCACCGGTAATTAAGTTCTTGTTCCTGCACACACAGTGATGTTGAGGCGGCGCAGATTGATCGACCACGATGGGCTGATGGCAGTGACACCAATAGGGGCACCAAGAAGAACCTGGTGAGCAGTTGAGACGATGCAGGTTGCATTCGCATCGTCCCTGGCGTTCGTGGTCAGCCGCTTGCCTCTACTAGTGAGCACTGAACAGCATCGGCCTGGCCGATTTCAGCGTGGGCGGACGCCTACATTGTTAGAAACACAGATATGTTAGTTAAAGATAAGAGTCAAATACAAATATAGGGATATGATACAATTCTAGAGATAGAATCTTAGAGATACAATAGAGTCCTAGAGATAGAATCCTAGAGATAATCTAGAGATAAATCTGCTCTTACTTGTACTGTACTCCAAGTTTCTAACTCCTATGTACTCCTATATATACCTTATGAGAGAGGCGATGTAATAGATTAGAAAACAACATAATACAACAATTAGATTTTCCACATACCTTGGAACTTGGAAGAGTGAGAAACAGAGAATCATCCTTCTGTACAGTGTGCATATTGAACTGAAGAATAGCAAGGAGTTCGGAGGAGGAAGAAACAAATGGAGAGGGTGACTGTGACGAAGTGCTAAAAAATGTAACTGAGGTAACTTTCGGTGCTATAAACCTAAAATCGTAAACTTTCAGTGCTAAAACTGAACATAATACTGCCTAGGATCCTGATTGATCCGCTTTTAGCTAACGTGGCAGAGTGGGACCCACATGTTAGTGAATAACACTTCTCTTCCTCCTCTCCTCTCTCTTCCCCTCTCCCTTCCATATGGTCGACGTCGACCACCGCCTGCCAGTGCCGCATGGCCTCCTGCACTCACCCTCCCATGCCACCGGCCTCCATCGCCTCACCACCCATGGCTCTGCTATCACCACCCTGCGCGTGTCACCCGCCACAGCGTCTCCCTCCTCCTACCCCACAGTCGCTCCCTTACCGTCCACTGTCCTCGCTCACCTCGCCACCGCTAGGGTCTCTGTCCTCCCAGGCCTCTCTGACCCCGAGCTCTTCCGCGTGGCCTCTAGCTTCCTCCTGACCTCCGTGACCTCTTCACGATCGACATGCCATCTGGATGGGTTCCCGAACTACCGCTCCTCTGCTGGGCTCCGCCTTTTCCGCTTCACCAAGGAGGAGGTCCCCACCACCATCGCCACAGCGCTGCTGGTGCTCCCCGGTAGCCTGGTGGGGCGTTGCTCCCCGCCTTCCCCTCCTCTCATCCCGCTCTATGGTTGACGGTGCTCTGCCTCACTGGGAACCCGGTGTTCCATGTCTCCGAATCCCTTCTTACTATATAGTTGTAATCCACTACAAGCATTAACTTCTCTAAAGCAGCCTCCACGTGAAGCCACGTCATCAACATCTTGCAACCATCGGATCAAGTGCCATCTTCGTTGGTTCAGCACCCATGCAGAAAACTCTTGTTGATTGACCCAACCCAACGTTTTCCTCCGCCGAGGGTATCAGGACCGTCGTGGGACTGCTCGCCTCCTCAACGTGCTGCACTGGCACAACATCAGGAAACTGCCGGCGGCGTCTCCCTTTTCACCGCAATAGCATTTATTTTCATTCCAATGATGCAAACACTGAAACACATCAACTTATTTGATCAAGCTCGAAAAGGGCAATTGATCGCCATTCGCAACAGTGCACATGTATTGTCTATTTGACTATTAGCTTATTTATAACATTTGTTGAAGAAACATCTGTCTTCCGAATGTTCTCAAAATTGGCCTGACAAAATTGACCTTACCAATCCATTCATATGTCTCAAAGTTGACCTTCTATCTTCATATCACTTATAATTTGTTATAAAGATTTAAATATATTCTTTTTGTTCAACATAACATTTAGAAAGCAACTTTTACAGGTCGATATTATGTATATGGCAAACAACTTCAGCTGGAGAAAAAACATGCCAATGACAAGGTTTGCAATTATTCCTCTATCATTTTGGCCATTAAATTACTATTGTCCATATTAATTGTTCTATCACTAACCCATCTGGCCTAACATACTGACAGTTGTTTTTTCATATATTTTTTTTGACTTGAAGTTGTTTTTTCATATATTGTATTATGACACCTTTGTATTATCATTAAACTTGAAACGTCAACCTTTTAGTAACCCTATTTTATCAGAATTGGTCACTTTTCATTCATACAAACTATCGTAAGCAATCTTTAGTTCATCACTTAGAATCCCCGCCGCAACGCGCGGGGTATCACCTAGTATATAAGGTGATGAGGCCGGATATCTCTTGAAGTTTTTTTTTGGTTGTGGTGGTAGTTGGGGGGGGGGGGGGTAATACGTAAGGGAAATTCGACAAACTATTGTTCAATATCTTCCTTGTGGTTTTCGAATTATGGACCAAGGTTGTGCTCGATCGACGAGCGAAATCTCAGATGATTCAACATTTTCCGTGTGGTTTCCGAATTAGCTAGCTTGCACTATACGTGCTATTTTTATCACGTTTGTAATAAAATGCACCGGTCCAGCTCACAACAAAGTCATTTATTTTCAATAGACAGGGAGACCCAACTCTACAGCTCAATTATAATTTCAAAATAAATGATTTAAAGTCCAAATAGCATGTCAAAAGCATTAATCAAATAGAACTTTCGAAAATAAAGAAATCCAACGAAAAGCATATGGTTTAAATGAAAGGATGGAAAATGAAGCAACAAAATGTGCAGCTCACGAAAAGTTAAATTTTTAAAAAGAAAATCAGAGAGATTGATGGGTAACCTTTTGAGCTACCCTAAAGGAACTAAGATTTTATCCATCTAGATTGGGCTACACAAATTCGACAACCAGGTTACCTACTGTTTTTAGGTTGGGACTATGCAGTGTTTTATGAATTTTTAGACCATGATGCAAAGACTCAAAAAATTTAGCCAAAATTCGTGGAGTCTGCTGGGTATGTCTACAAGCTACTGTTAAAAGATAGCATGATTATCTTTTACGGTTTGGACTACATAAAAAGAAGAACGCCGCTGTCTAAAGATTTCAGAACACGGTTATGCACACTAATTGAGTTTTTACCCTATGATACAAAGGTCCAAAAATCACACCAAAATTCATGATGCCTATTCTACATGTTCCTTGTAAAAATTCTCAGGTCTATCGTCTACGGTTTAGCCTAGGCAAAATTAACAGACTGACTCGAAATTCCAAAACACGATCAACCGACACAGAAAGAAACTTCATTCATGTTTTAAGTTACCTAAATTCCTCATCTTTTGTTTACATTAGGTTAGGGTGGTACAGAGGCTATGTGAATTTTGGGTGGTCCATCTAAGCAACAATCTACAGGTTTAAGCACAACAATTTTATCCTTCACAAACTACCCATTCTAGACCATGTCAGTAAAATTTGAAATGTCGGAAGAGAGGAGTTCAAAATCTACCAAATTCATTTTTTTTGGTGCAGAGATAACATAAGGAGATGGAAACCATATCATGTCTTTCAAGATTTAAATTTTATCCATCCATTTTCAAATCCTATAACTAGAGGCTATTTTTAACCCGATATTTTGCAAATCCGTACTAGTACATAGGTGATTGCAAATGGATTTCAAAACTTTTCAAAACACTTTGGAACTGATTTTTTATGATTAATAAGTGTTTTCAAACTCATTTTCACTTTAGTACAAGCTTTCAAAAGGTCTCGGTCCTATAGAGCAAGATAAGAGTTTTCAAAATCAAAATAGAGACCTAGAGGAAAGTAATCTCTAGAGAGGGATGATATATAAGGTTGAATATGATTTTCGCAAAATAATTTGTAGCTGAGAGCAAAACCCTCAAAATAATTTTAAGAAACCATTCTAAACGACCAACTTAAGGGGTTCCTATAGTTGGTATTAGCTCTGGTACCATGCCTGTGGAGGACACCTGAACTTTACATTATATCTGCCAATTGAAGTGAACAATTCAAATCAAGTAGCAGGCATAATGTAAAATCCGAAGCCTCAAGTAAAGGATATAGGAGACATTGCTGGGACTTTAGCTTGCCAGTTAACTTCAGCCTGAGATGTGTCCGTCAAACCACACGAAGGCAGTGACTAGATGTGTTACACATTCAGGAAACTTGACGAAAATAGCTAAAGCTCTACGACATCCCAAATATCCTAAACCCTTACTCATGTGGAACTAGTTCCTAGGATATCCACTAGCTTCACACTTTCATCTTAAGCAATGATACACAGAAGAAAATACAAGACAAACAAAATTCAATTACAACTACTTTAGTTATACATAGGCCAACTAGCCAAATAATCAGAGATTCGCGCAAGCTTGCCTACCCAAACAACAAGCAAACCGACTAGGGGGTTGACCCCAATTAGAATCTAATTCCTAGAAGAAACGGTTGAAACCCGCATCACTCAATAAACACTAAGCATACAACCTACAAAAATGGATACTCTAGTATAACAAGAGTCAGTACATCATTAGAAATAATGTACTGCCAAGCCTAAAGCAATTCTAACATATTACATGCAGGGCATATATTCAAGGAAGGCTATATGTAGTTAAATTTTAGCGTAAAGCAAGTTTTGGTTCACAATTCCTTTCAAAGGAGTTGATGATTCAATTAACAAAACAAATTCTGTAATTATATCATAAAGAACATCATAGTACCATCATAAGCATAGCTGCCTTCCTTGGCAAGGCATAATATCATCATCACACGCGCACACACACTCAACACAACACATTTCAAGAGAGAAAACTAGAAATGTTTGATACACGCAAACCATGATTTTCATAAAGGCTTGGATGTGCAACAAAATGCATGGATGAGAAATGAAGCGTAACGAAGAAACCAATAAATCGTTAGGGACAAGCAAACTATGATTTGCATAAAATCAGTAAGCTGCAATCAAATGTAGACGTCTAGCTCGCAACCAAGATATTCTTCGATAAACAGGGTAACATAACTATAAAAATTAAATTAGTTATAAGTCTACTATTAAAACGTCGGAGCACAAAAAAGCCGCAAGGATTAAATACAAGCAAATATTTTCTTTTCACAAACTAGTAAGCATAAGTTTATACAAAATTTCACAAACTAAAATAAAGCTTTAAAGTCCAAAGAGAAGTTCCAAAAAGAGAAAAATTGTAACTGAAGAAATCAAACTTAAAGTACCAAGTTGAAATTTAATGTTGAAAAAAAAACCGTTACGCGAGAAA